ATGTTGTATATTATGTAGGTTTTCCAATTTCCAAAACGTATTTATTTAAATATTTCTATGAGTTTTCACCCATAACACAAGCCCTGCTTAGCTTTAGGACTAGATAGCGCCGTTTAAATTGTCCAAAGGTAATATATTATTATATTATACTCGTATATTTATTGCCATATTTTCTGCTATATGTCTTATACTTTGTATCTTTGCCAAACCTCAGGTGAAGTGGATAAATGAATGATTGTATAGTGTCTTCAATGAGCCAGGTTTACAAAAACTTGAATCGATTGTAACACATCCACAAACTGCTATCACACTCGCGTGTTTTTATTACACCATTTCCTTTGCATGTTGTGCAAATTTAAAAATAATATAATTTAAGAGCAGGTATTACTCAATCGAAGGTTTTACTCCTTATCTTAGCTAATTTAATCATTAATTTGGTACGGTTTATAAGTCATTCATTAAAAGTTATGTAATAAAGAATTAATATTTATATTTGTTTGCTTAATTAATATCATACAATATTTAACCTCTTTTATACATTCTTTCACCTATAGAAAGATATATTTTAGTAACCTGTATTTTATACTAGCTGTTACTGAGGTTTCACCTGCGTTAAATAAATAGGCTGTGTGTTACATACTAACCAAAAAAGACTAGTTTTTAAAGTTATTTACTTTAACAAATATTTCTCAAAAATATAATAATATAATTTATTTTAAAATTACGAAATATCCATTTCATAATTTTAAAATAAATTATTATTTATTATACTGCGTTAATGTAGTGAGTACTGGTTGTGCCTGCGGTTTTACCTGCATGAAATTTATGACCTATGTGTTATTCTCATGTACATTATTGTAAAGTTTCTTTAAAGTCCATTCAGTACTTTTTGCGTGAAAGAGAAACAACCATACACCTATCCATACTGCCATTATAAAATCACAATTCCTACTGTAATAAGTTTTAAATCAGTAATTATGAACTGTTAAATTGATAACATAATATTTTTATGTGTTGTTTTTGCACATAACTAATAAACCAGCAAAAGAAAATTGGTTAAAATGGTTCGCAATTGAAGCGGATTATCTCGGCGTAACAATTACGAACAGTGCTAATTCACACGTGATCAACTCTTGCTTTCGATATCGGATAGAACTGGGCCGGTACTTTCACGACGGCTAGCCTTTTTGCTGCCTCATTAGATATCATACAACTCGTGTTTATTTATATTGTATGATGTACCGTTACAAGTTACCGTATTACAGAACTTTATTTCATGTATTTTTTTTATAATATCCAAGAGCAATTCACATTGCCATATAGTCCCAAGCTAAGCAGAGCTTATTTTGTGTACTATAGACAACTGTTATAACTTTTTTCTAATGTATTTTATTTTACTTTAATGTATATATTTTTTTTTATAAATACATATTAAATATACATTGAAAACACCAAAACCAATACAAATAGTTATACTCATGAATACAAATTTTTGTGCCGTACGAGGAATTGAACCCGCGACCATCGAAAGTAAGGCTAGACTACCGAGGCCTTCAAAATATGAACCGCCTCTACACATGAACTGATGATATAGAGATATAATACCTGCGTATCCTGAAATTTCACTGTGCTATCTAAAATAAGGCAAGCAGCCTTATTTGGAATGTTTTTCAATTGAAAAGCAATACAATTATAAGGGTAAATTACCGAGCAGAGAACTTTGTATAAAGTCTATCTTGATAACTAGACTCGAATAATTATAAATATAATATAAATAAAATAAAAAAAAATAATAATGAATAAATAAAAAAAAACAAACAACTCAAAATTCAAATAAATTCAAAACTCAAAGTATTTATTCATGTAGGTCTATTATAGGCTCTTATGAATATATATTAACTATCAAAATTAACATCAAATAAATCATCGGAAATGGCTTAAAGCGGATTAATCTCATACCTAATTACGTGTAGATAACTTATGTAATTACAAATTCTCCTTAATTTAATTGTAAAAGTTAAAACCTACTGTTGCAATTCAAAGTCGAAGACATGTTATTTTTTTTTAAACAAAACGGTTTGCTTAGAAAAATATGGTTGTTTAGAAATCTCGAAGCTCCAACATCCGTATGCACACTACTGCATCCACTGACCTTGTTTCCATCTAAACGCATGCAATCGCATAATTGTAGATTATAACACGCAAGCCGATCGTGTGAACTCGATCTAATGATTTCACTCAGTGAAAACTGGGCTCTAATAATACGTAAGTTGACAACTTGGTGAGATAATTTGTGCAATGTTCATCCACAGCGGCAAGTAGGTAGATAATTTTTTAATGTGTCATAATGGAATAGTAACGGTTTACGCTGGCAGGGCGGTAGTGGAGAATCATAAAATTAGCATGAAGTCAGTTAACTCGTATTTTTATTTATTTTTTTTTATTTTATTTAATTTTAATTCGGATTACATCCATATTGTGTTAGTAAAAACTTATAAAACTATGTTAGTAACTTATAATATACATATACGTAGATATATTTAATTCATATATCTGTGTCCACGTCCAGAAGCACTGGGTCCACAATGCAACGTTATCCAGTGCCTCTGGAGCGGACAATCAGGTATATTCGCAACAGTTTTTAGGATGCTGTTTGAGCTCCCCCGAATTCTAGACATCAGTGATGCAGCTGTTTTACGCATTATGGCTTCAAATCCATCTACCCGCGCTGCTGCAAACATCTCTGATGCGCTACAGAACCGAGGGAGCCCCAACAACATCCTAAACCCATTATTATACTGTATACGAAGAGCGTTGTATGCCCTCTGCGTATACCCAAACCATAGGCCGCACGTGTAAAACGACTGGCAAATGGCAATTTATTACGATGGTTTCCAGGGGGACCCGTGGAGGTCAATCTGACAATACATTGCTAGCAATGAGGTTATTAGTCCACATCACTAACACTCTCCTTTCCCCCTGATGTACCCATTTTTTTAAAGGTTAATAATGTAATGGTCCCCTTCCTGCACTAACGGCATACGCTGGTAGTGCACCAGTGGAGGATAATAAAATGAGTATGAGGTCAAGTCAGTTAGCCCATCGTGGCAAATTCACCAGGAATTTAATATGATGAAACAGTGTGGTGGTCAATTTAATATGATACATTGGTAGCATTCAGGTTATTAGTCCACATAAGTTAGTACATTTATTAGAAAATACTGTTCCCAAAATTTCACCACACTATCTAGAGATAAATTTAGAGAATAGTAGGTCCAGAAATGCCATTCAATAATACTATTTCCAAAATTTCAATGTCATCTAGACTTATCGAGAGATAAATTCAGGGAATAGTAGTTTTTGAAATGTCATTCTAAATTACTATTCTCGAAATTTAAGTGTCAACCACACTATTTAGAGATAAATTTAGGCAATAACATTTTAGAATCAACCACAGTCTCGTGGTATCTGTCATATCTTAAGTGGGCACGCGTGGTATCAATGGATGTTTAATTACATTAATTATCAAATAGTTAATGAAGATGCGTACAGTCCGCGTGCATTTAACAAGTATTTTAATGTACTCTCGCGATCCAGTAAGAGTTAAGACTTGTTGAAATTTCAGTGAAAGTTATACGTTACATTACGTGGATAGGAACATGTTTTGTAAATCACCAAATTTTACAAATTGCTTTTAGAATGTAAAATTAACTGTCAGTTATTTTTAACTTTCGCGTCTAGAACAAATTTTTAATATACATAGTTAAATCGGAATTTAACACGAATAATATTTTTAGGTGTTTTTGCCTGTTCCTACGTTTTACATAAAATTTTATGAATACGTAATAAAGACGTAAAGACATTAATGTTAAGTTTAGTTGAACCACATACAACTTAAACGGCTTAATAATACTTGCTGTTACCCGCAACTTCACCTGCTTTTTGAGATAAAACGTCCATCTATCTACACACTAGATCACTTAGGGAGTAGGCAAATCGAAAACCAAGTTCCATTAGCTTCTGGCCTTACACAAAATACTTACCTCAATCACACTCATAACCATAGATAAAATATACTGTTTTTTATCCGTTTATGTACGTCCTCCTAATACATCTATTTTTACAAAATTCATTGAAATCTGTTCTGCCGTTTAAACGTACTAAAGTAAATAAAGAGACAGACAGACAGACACACTATCACATATATAATATTAGTATGCATTCGAAGATTACTTTCTTTATACAGGGACCTGGAAACCAATACTGTTAGTTTCTGTTGAATTTACCAGACTCGGCCAAGTTATCTGAATAATTCATTTATTTTCATCCGGGTACGGAAGCGTGACACCTTTGTCCTACGGAATAGCAACATATAAGTTACCACTTACCATCAGGTGGCCCGTCAGCTTGTTTACCATTCTAATAGTTGTATTACCATTCCAATCCTTCACTGATGCCCCAACAGTGTAAACATACAGATGGATTAACCATTTCATCATCTTGTACAAATAAACACTTGACATTAGGTAACCCATCAGTTTATTTGCTATACGCAATAACTAGCTTATACCTACTTAGAAGATATCTAATTTTATAAATGTGAAACAGATAATTAACACAATTAACGTAGTTAGATCGCAGATAAAAAATAACGGGAAATTAATTTTAATTAATTAAACAAAGTCAATGCCAGTTTTAAATATTTATTGTGCAACTCATGAACCTGCAAATAAAACTAGTTTATGATCGCAACTTCGTCGGCGTGAGTATGTAATGTATTTAAATAAGTAACTTGATATTAAAGCAGAAGAAGATTTTATGCTAACAAAAATAATCGAATATTCGTTTTAATAAGCTTTTTATAGAGAATGTCACATCCCTACTGTAGAAAGCTATGTTGTAGGTAATAGTCCCCACAGTTATCGACCTAGGATTAAGCTAGTTTCTTAATCAAATTTTTTAAATATTTTTTTTTATAATTTGATTATTTTTGTCAACAGGAAAGCATCTAGTGTTTTCTACGGACCCCGAATCGGTGAAGGACGAGTTCGCCTTCGACAACCCTGGATTCAGACAGGACGAGCGCAACACGTGGCAGAATGAAGCGCCAACCCTGCCTCTTGGTGGGAAACCATCAGTTCTTCAGGCAGAATTCACGAAACCCGAACAAAGCAAAGATGACATGCATTTACAAGTAAGAATCATTTCAATGACGGCCTCGGTTGTCTAACGATTTAGCACACCGCTTTACTTTCAATGATCGCGGATTCGGTTCTTCGCACTTTACAAATATTTGTATTCATGAGTATGATTGCTTGTATCGGTCTGGATGTTTTCAATGTATGTATAATATATGTATATGTATTTGGATGAAATTTTGTACATTTCAATGTGTTTCTCGATGATTTGAATACGCAATTAGACCCTGTGGCACTGCTGTGCCGAGCAATAAAACCGGAATATTGTTTAAAGATAAACATGGTCGTTGTTTTCAATTAATTCAAATATTTTGCTAAGATCATGTTTACGCTTTACAATGATTGGAAACGCTATGTGACTGTACCGACATGACTGTACTGTACATAGCTTATGTATGATTAATTTGTATGAAAGAAAAGTGGCAGGTGTTATATAACAAAATTGGCATACGTAACTGAATACTTGCGTATCATTTAATACTATATTAGTTCAGACGGTTTATGTTTATAGCTTTCAAAATACAATATGATATAGATATATAGATAGAATATGCTTTATTTTGCATTATACAAAGATAGAAGATATATACAACTAATGAGTGAACTAAACATATTCAAATTCAAAATATCTTTATAACAGACTCTTAACATATGTCTAACCTACCGTCAGTTCGGAATGATTTCGAATTAAGAAAAACTGACAACAAGCTCAGCTTGTGTCTTTTTCAAGTATGGTTGTACATGTTTATAATAATACAGATTCAAATTTGGGAGTGTATAGAGTGAATACCAGCATAGATTATTGCAATTTTGTCAAAAGCAAATAGTCTAATCATTGTTCGTAACCCGAACAGACCAACCCCACAAGCAGCAGCCGTTCACAAGTATGGTCGATACGTATATGTGTATAAATACAGCAAGGCGGCCTTATTGCTGAAAGCAATTTTTACAAGGCAATCTTGGGACAACGCCTACCTTAACGTTATACGCTGGCGGGGCACCAGTAGAAGATGATACGATTAGCATGAGGTCAGGTCAGTTAGCCCATCGTGGCAAATTCACTAAGAATTTGAGGAGCTCACCCTGACTACAACAAATACTATATTTTTTTGTAGCTTAAAAAAATATTTATTATCAGTCGTAGTAATTTAAAAAGTGAATGCATAATTATCGATATCACCACCAGTATTCCGATCTGGCAAGAAACAAGTCGTACCGGCTTATTAAGGACTGGGCGATTGCAACCCGATGAATTCCGCGGCGCATTCCGATGCAACTTGTAACAAATTGATCGGGCCGCGGTTGCAAATGATCTGGTGTCGAGATACATAATCTTAGGTAGGCTTTGAGTATTCAGGCCATTAATTCAAGCGACTACGGCGGTATAAGGGCCTGTTACACTATCATAAGCTAATTTTAAAAACATTAATGAAAGATAATCTAAAAGTCACATACAGAAGATTTTTCGTTGGATTCTCTACCAGGTTTATAAGTCAGGTGTATTAACCAATATGCCAAGATGGTTCCTAAAAAATAGATTTTGTTTTGAGAGCTTTGGGAACATCCCAATTCTCTCAAAACAAATTCTATTTTGTCTGGTGTTTTAGATCTTGGTAGCACTACGACCTACCAAGATCTATAATACTGGCTCCTTTTTAAATTTCGTTACCCTACGTTATCAGGGACAGGAATTGAAGGATATTCTTAGGAGCGATGGTCAATATCTCCTAAAGAAATAGATTAGATAATATTTTTGTAAAAAAAACAACCTCCCATTGCAAACTCTCTAGACAATTTTTTTTTTTCTAAATTTATATTTACGTATGGTACAATACTATTTAAATCTTTTCCAACCTCTATATCTATTAAATAACAATGTGACAACAGACGAAAACACTTCTATTGTATTGTCTCCTCCGATCGATTCCTCGTCTAATTCGGCTTAGAGCCGACGTTCGAACTTCTAACAGTGTCCTCAGACTGAAGTCGTATCTCTATAAGTCCTTCTTTTGGTTTGGAGTGCCATCTCCACTCGCGCCCTATCGTCCGGCGAAGCTATAAAGGCCGGCTGCGGTCAACAACATTATAGTAGTCCAAAATCTTTATACAGTAGTAACTCTCTAATCTGCCACGTTATAGAGGTCACTGCGTAATATTATGAAGGTCATGTTTAGTTCACACGGATGCAATCCTTGATTGTCAGGTTTCATGAGGCATGCCATGATGATGTCATGACTAGCTTAAGTAGGCGCTTATGATAATCAAGAGGTGAAATCATCAAACCTAACACAACTCTGAACAAATTTAATTGCTTTGTTTTTAATAACATACAGCATACACAGACCATTGGTGGTTAGGAAGTTCGCACGGTATTTTTTTTTTTGTGGCATACCTTATATTAGACGGCCTCAGTGGTGTAATCGTTTAGCACATTGAAACTTTCGATGGTCCCGGGTGCGATTCCTCGCTCGCAAAATTTGTGTTCATGATTATGATTGTTTGTATCGTTTTTAGACTAGGTTTTTATGATGTATTTATAATATAATATCTATCAGTTTTCTATTGCCCTAACACAAGCTTTGCGTAAGCTTGGGACTAGATGGCGCTGTGGGAATTGTTCCTTGGGTTATTCATTTATTGTTATTATATATTTACTCATCTATGTGTGTATGTGTCAACTGTATGGTAGTGTGTGTTTTTTTATTAATTTAATATATTTCCTAAGCGTTGTTATAAAAAAAAGTTTTATATACTTCGTATCTATACACAGTCACAGTGTTAACTTCCACAATAATGAACCCTGGGAAGGTATATTACACCTGATATACAGTATAATTCTATACAAGTTCAGGAGGCACAATAATACCTACATGTTTGAATAGTTTCACAGATACTATAATAAATAACAAACTCTTGATTATTCTCTTCACAGAAATTACAGTTACACAAACTAATATGTACAACTAAATAAAAAATATTACTAAGTGCAACATAGAGTCAAATTAGGGGACCTAATTGCCAAATAGTGATCTCCAGGCAATCTTAGGATAGAGAGGAGTGATTTTTGCGTTGCGATCTTGATGTAACAAGAATTACAATTAAATATGTGCAACTTAACTATGTAACAACCTTTTTTACTTGGAGAGAATCCTTATAGAGACCTGCCCGCCTCGTGGAGGTAAACGAGTACTAAGACAATCCTACACACTAAAATTCCAAGGTATCCCGATGCAGCACCTATTACCGGAGTCACATGAGCAATGACAGTCCACCGCGACTCTAACGGCATCGCTTTACTGTATGGCCTTTGTTTTTAGGACATATGTAGTTCTCTTTTAAGAAGGCAGAAGGAATACACGCTACCATCTCGGGGTTTTCTTGGAGGTGGAACTGCAATCACACTACAGGTCTATGCAGCGATCTTGAGCACTTTTATAGGCACGCCCTCTTATAGGATTGCCAATGACTGTAAAACAACCTAAGATTGTAAATTATTATTTTTTGGGGGTAAGTGGGTGTTGGAAAGTTTTACCCCCTTTTTATGGCGGAAATATTTTCCAACACGCGGGCCTTAGCCAAGCGTGGTATTTTGAGGATTATAAATGTGATGGATGAAGATAAATTATTATAGTGCCCAGATATATATAATTTTCGGACAGAATTGTCGTAAAAGGGGGTACAAAATTATTGCCTCATTAGGATATTATTCCATACGTACATGGTATATGTTTCCTTACGTCCATTTGGATATGATATTTTGCTGTTTACACGACCGAGTATGCTAACATCCAATATTTATAGCGTATAAATTAAAAAGGTTTAATATATTTTATCAGGCGAAGTAGGTCATTATGATGTAAATTAGTTCACTATAAAAACTTTAAATTTATAACCCATATATATATAGGCTATACAACAGAAAATTATGTTAGGTACTCTATTTATAACTCAAGGACGGTAAAACCGATTTTTAAGCTGTTTAATTTATTAGATTTAGCTAGAATAACTATTAAAATGTGAGCTAAATTATGAAGATAATGAAATTTCTCATATATTATAGATTTTTTTATATGTTGATAGAAGTAATTAACTGATTATGATGATGATTTTTCTTCTTTTCTTCTTCAATAAACAAGAACAATACGTTCCTGTACCTGATAGCCTTGTTCATTACTAAATGAAAAGATAAACACTAACTGTTGTTTAAAATCTTGATATTTAAGATATTGCGCTGTATGTTAGTCCGTATTCTCACGAAATCATAAAAATGTTCTAGTTTTATAAAATTAATCTATTTGTTATTAATATGAACTATAAAAACTTTTATTGATTCTATAGCACAGAGCAATGAAGTAAGCTAGGAGGCTGAGCATAAAAATAATAAGACATTTCCTTATAATAAAACTTGTTTGTTTTTTTTTTCATTCTTGATGAATAAACCATTGATCAATATCACCATGAAATAAGGTCAATTTTCACTATTGTTCAGTGCAATTGTTTCTTTTTTGCAGCGCGCTAGAGTGCGGCGGGTAAAGCTATGGGCTCGAGACTTCACGGGCCTGGGTTTGAGGTGTGGAGGCGGTGCGCGGGAGGGGGTACATGTGCATTCTGTTCTACGGAGTGGTCCAGCGGCTGCAGCCAAATTGGAACCAGGTAAACAATTTGACCGCATTCAGAACCGAGCAGCCAGAATCATTGGTTATAAACGTTTATGTGACGGACTTGACCCATTGGCTTTGCGGCGAGATATTACATCTCTGTGCATTTTCTACCGCATATATCACAGGGAGTGTTCTGAGGAATTATTCGGATTAATACCAGCTGCTGAGTTTCACCACCGTACCACCTGCCAGAAACTAAAATACCATCCTGATCATCTGGATGAATAGCGGTCCTCCAGAGCGCGGTTTTCTAGAAACTTTTTACCACGCACAACCTCATTGTGGGATCACCTTCCAGCAATGGTATTTCCGAACCGATACGATATTGAAACCTTAAAGAATAGAGCTTATTGTTGACAATGTACTTCCTATTCCCCTGGTGTTGCGGGTGGTCATGGGTGGCGGTAATCACTTACCATGAGGTGAGACGAATGATCGTTTGTCTCCTGCGTTATATAAAAAAAAATTTCAATGGACGATAATGATATGGTGCGCCTGCCTACGCTGACGGTATATGGCGGAGAACCAGTGGAAGATGAGAAGTTGAGTTTGTAGTGATTGTATGTCAGTTAGCACATTGTGGTGAATTCGCAGGGAAATAACATTGATAGTTTTAGGAGGAACTTGTGAACGTCAACCTGTTTTAGTAGATCACTGGCAATTGGACAAAATCCACACCCAAGCGCTATATTATTTTATTAAAACTTTAATGTACAAATACACAAATGAAGGTGCACATGGCGGACTTAACACCTAGAGGCATTTTCTGTATCAGGCAGGTATCTAGTTATATACTATGTAATTAAAATCGTAGTTATTATTAAAAAAAAACGAACCCATTTATTTTTAAAATTGGCTACACTAATATTTATATAGCGCCAAGATTTGATTTTGGTTTCTCAAAAAAACATTTATCAGTTTTAAAAAATTCTTCCGCCAATGAAAATATTGCTAGAGACAAAACAATTGAATATACTTTAAGATTTGACAGCTTAGTTCTACTACAATAACTTTCTGATGAAATATGCATGCCTGCATATTAAACATGCTGCCGTGCAATGTCTATGCTGCCGGAAGATGATGCACCAAGTAATGATATTTATGCATAATGCTTAAGTTCCAAGTAACTTGGACAATACTCTTCCTTTATGATTCAACGTGCTGGCGGCCCCTTTATTCATAATATCACGATGTATAAACCATTTCTAATGAAATAATGCATTCTATCTAGATCTATGGGGTTAATTGTATACATAAAGTATTTACAAAACGAAAAGACGTTGAAATGTAAATATTGATTTTTTCTTACAAAACTGATAATATGATTGTGCATCTAATTGGAGAGTTTTAAAAGTTATTTTATACTAGCTGTACCCGCATTTTCCCACGCGTGAAATTTATAACCTATGTGTTATTCTGATGTACCTATAAGCTATATCATTGTAAAGTTTCAAATAAAATCCATACTCACAAACTTTCGCAGTTATACTATTTTTCTGACGACATTTTTTGAGGATAGTTCAGTTTACTTTTCTCTCTTTTGGTACACGCTTTTACGCATAACCCCGTATAAATCTGAAGAGTTTGTTTGTTTGTTTGAATGTACGGTAAGGAAAAAATATTAATACAAAAAACTTGACCTTCGTGGGACTAAATTATTTTTGATTTGGTTTGATTTGAATTAATTTTTAATCGCATATAGGCTAGGCTAATAAGCTAGCGATTCACTTGATTGTAACGTAAGCCGTATATGGGTGTATTATCTATACATGAACGGCAATAAAGACTAATCTTTGTCACCCGTAATATCAGAGGACTGGATATTATGCTCTTACCCTGTAATGTCACGGCGTAGTTTCAAAAAACTACTAATATTATAGATACTTTCTACTTACTATAGATTCATATTCTATAATATTATAGAATATTAATAAAAAAAAAATTTTCTTTGTAGGTGATAAAATAAAGAGTATCAAGATTGAATTCACGGGCACACCGCTAGAGGACGCTGTTGGGATCCTGTCTCTCGCGTCTCCATACCCCGTGGAGTTAGAGATAGTGGAGGGGGGCAGGTCTAGCGGGGCGGGCAGGGGGGTTCTCCATCCGCTGTTGAAGAGGGCTGGCTCTACTGGCGACGTTAGCACGGTGAGGAAACGAATTCTGAAGTTTTTACTTCACCTATTTCATTACAAGAAAATGGAGTAGGTCTTTCACTTAGTAGAATTAAATTGAAAACAATTTAATTTAGACACACTTAACAGTTACTGGATCCTAAATCAAATCTATTTTAATTTATAAATAGATGTAACATAAACGTAATAAGAATTTAGAAGCTGTAACATGCTTACTATTGTGATACCAAGCTCCTAAATAAATAAAGAAAAAAAGTACAGTGCTTCAGTGTCACGTTTTGTTAACAATGACCTAATCTCAGGCAGCAATAGAACTTTTGTCTTTGAACAATTTACATTTCACGGCTCGAATCATAAACGATTTCCGTCTGCCATGGCATAGACAATTCGTGATAGATTCAACCTCAATAAATTTATGTAACTTTCAATAACACAGGTTGTATAATTGATGCTGTTAACTTTATAATTGCTTACTATTGAGGTATTTGTGCTAAATTTAAGTACCGCAGTACTTCTTAAATTATAATAGTACATGCCTCTCTATTACATAGTAAAATCATAGATAAGTATGTGACATTCTCTATAATAAATCTACTATTTCTGTTAGCATATCTAAGCCTTTAAAAACATTGATTAATAAATAATTTCCATAATGTATTATTTTTGGAAATCAGTATTTTTGGGGTCCTTTAGCCTTGTTCTTTTTAGGTCTCAAATTGAATGGATGTATTATTAAATAATAATCAATAATGTTTTGACTATTTCATCACCATCCACCATCTTGACTATAAAGTTAAATATTTTTAAAATGTTAACTTATTTATTATAGATACAGAACTACAAAAGACACAAATGTATCTACTTAAGACATCTCACATACAAATGTAACTCTGCGTTTCTCATACGACACTGTAACCTTTAAACAAAACGCAACACTATTGTTCTCACCTTATGTAACATGCATAATAATTTACCCCGGACTATACTCAAATTGTCTTTCTATTAGTCATCAATACTTTTTGGCTGGACCAATCTTACTTGGCATGTTCATATACAGACTTTCTATTGAAATTGAGAGAAAATTAAACGCTCCCTGCAGCTCAAGTTACAATAGGCTCATCGTTACAGCTCGCTGCAAAACGATCTCAACGTTGAAAATAATTTTTTGTATTATGTTTTCTATGTTGTACAGAATTAGGATGTTTTTCAATCAACAAGGTATTGTGTTACGATGTTATTGATTGTGACAATGGTTGTTTGGAATACAATAATGTTTCGTACGCCGTGGAATGCTTATTCCTCTATTGTTTTACAAAACAGACACAGAAGGTTGGAAGTTAGATTGTTGAGAATGTTTAACATTAGATCTTGTTGATAGATAGTTATTTATCACTCGGGACTTGTAGTATTTCTGACACCAAAAGACAGTATTAATTTACATTTTTGACTGATTCTCCGATGAAAGAAACACTGTTATCAAACCAAAATTTAATCCTGGTAACGGTGGTAGGCTCGTGCTCTCCTCCGTTGAATTTAAATATAAGCAACAGAATATAATCCTGTCAATTATTGCGGTTCTACGATTTAAAATAATATTAATTGTTATTACTTTTAGTCCTCTTGCTATTAAATGTAATATATTGTGAAAATATATTTGTTTGCAGTTACTAAATTATTTTTGTCAATTTCGTTTCAGCTTGAGAAAGAAGCCAAGTTGTTGCATCCACCGAAATCACCAAATACCTCAAACTCCAACAACTCGACTTTGGAAACAAAATATAGTAAAGGAGGCATTAAGAAAATTATAACAGAGAAGATAGTTACAACTACGCTTGAAAGAAACAAAAAAGAAAGAAAAGATGGTGTTCCCACGACATTGGAAAGAGAAAACGAGAAAAATAGTAAGCTAGCCAACAAAACGAGGCATTCAGATATTTTAACTACGGGTTTAACTAAACAAGAAAAGAATAAGAACAGACCTTCCAGTGGAAGCGATGTTCAAATTATTCAACCAGAAAATGGTATTTCACATTTTGAACATGCAGAGATACAAAAAAGAGATTATGATCCCAAACGTGGCATGAAATTCGGTATTAGAGTTTTACCGCCAAATGTTCCTGATGACGGAGTATTGAAACAGAAAAACGTGGAAAACGGTGTCGTAGCTGTGGAAAGAAAATCTATAGATGAAACAGATAAACCCGAACCACAAAGACAGGCTCCGACGGCTCAATTAAAACATGAAAATGAGACAGAACAAAAGAAGCCTGTTGTGGCTAAAAGACGCGAAAAAATGGCACCACCGATTCCGAATGCTAGAGTAAAAACTAATGACTCTGATATGAACACAACAAACACAAGCTTAAATACTTCAAGAACCTCTGAAACTTCGCTGTCAAGTTTTGTTAGAACTGATTTAAATTCAAGTGGAATTAAAAGAGACGAAAATGGCATACCTCAAGAATTACCTCAACACATGCTCGAAGCGGCTAAAGCTGCTAGAACTAATAGAAAGAGTTCAATTGAATTTGATAAAGAAAAATCCGAACACAAAAAGGAAGAAGCTCCTAAAGCCATTAAGAAATCCAAGGGCAAAGCACCTTCTCCTCCAGACACTGATAGGAATAAAACAGATGACAGTATATTAGAGCAATTGAAAGATGTCAATGCTTTCTTAAGTAACGAGAAGCAACATTCTAGTGTATTATATGATTCATCAGTTACAAGTAGCAATAAAGACATTTCTTCATTTAATACTTCTACGCCTAAGGTGAACAAGACAAAAAGTACGTCACGAATTGATGACTCAATTAATTTTAGTCAAGATGATATTGATGATATCGTATCAAAACCGTTTAGACGAGAGAGTGATTCTCTAAATAATTACTTTGAGGATTCGAAATCTAATTTGTCTTCAAGTCATGATATCCATTCAGTTGTATCACTGAACAATAGTGATAGAAGCGATAAAGGGTCCACAACTATTGAATTAAATAACAGTGATATTACTATCCATAGTTCTCCCTTAAACGATACTGTTCAATCGGTATCGGATACTGCATCTACTTTAGATGACAACGAAAGAAAGGCAGCTTCTTTAGGTGATCTTTCTCGATTTGAATTGAGGGCTAAAACTAGCATGCCTTCTACCGGTACTTTGGAACGTGCTCAAAGTCTAGATATATCTGCAGATGATGCAGACATTAAAGAAAGCACTTTATCGCCTAAGAAAAGAAAAGCTATGTCTGTAGTAGAATCAACATTCTTCGACTCGACGACGGAAGATGTGCTACCTGATATGATAGATTCAGAATGTGGTGTGGTAATAAAAAATAAAGAACCGCGACTTAGCCTGAATATTACAAAAACATCCGCAATGGAAGGTCTAAATACTTTTCAAAGAAATCGCTTAAAGAAAGCCTCTGAGTTTGGAAATTTAGAAGATGCAATCGTAAAAGGATCAAATAGTTCTGTAGAATCTGACAGAATTGAAGACCAGCAAACAATTAATAAGCCGACTTTACAAAATAAAGATTTCGAATTGCATAAAGAAAATGAACCACACGAAACTTCAGATCATTTGGCTCGTAGAATAATGGACGAAAATCTCAAAGTTCATTTTAAACTCGTATCAGAATTTGCTAAATCTACTTCAGACGGTAGCAATATGAGTTCTCTCGATAGTAGTCAAGACGTTTTACCAAGCACAACTGAGACATCACCTAATAAATACGATGAAAAATTAACAATGACATATGATACTAACATACCAGATGATCTGAAAGTTTCTCGTAATACATATGTGAACAGTTTAGAGCGTCTAAAATCAGATGTGATGAAAAAACTTCTTGCTAGAAATCCCATTTTAAACGTACATGTTGACCAAAACACACACAATAACGAAGCTACTACTAGCAAAGAGTTACCACCTCAAAGAACTGATACATTTAAATCAACACTGCATCAACCAGATATCGTTAATTTTGACTTAAAATCTTCAGAACCCAAATTAAGAGATTATGATGATTTTGTCAGTAATATAAAAGTTGGTTCAAATAACAATAGTCTTAAATATAATAAGTCTTCGCATGAAAAATTATCTGATTGGTCTGATCCCAAAGGTATTCATAGTACAAATATAGTAACAATATCAACGAATGAAAAAAATCAGCCTTCCGATAACCACATGAATAAATCGTATACAAAGTCTATTGAAATTGGCGAACCTACAAGAGTTATACCGGATGTTATAGATGGAATCAAAAGGCGTAGTGGGGAACTGGATACCAAAACTTTATATATGGAACCTGCCAACATGTCCATTACAATGACACAGGAACCAGTTCAGAAAACAGTATCGGTCAACGTGGCCGAGGACGGATATGGAAATAAAGTAATCACGCAAAATGTCGAAAAGATTTCTACGAAATATATTACAGCTAAAACCGAAGCTCCTTTACAGGTAGAACAAGTTACGTTTGGTATCATAAGAAATCCAGTTGATATTGATGATTTAAAACTTGAAGAAGGTAATGTAAAAGATATCGATAAGAAAATATTAGATGAAATTAAGAGAAAAAATCCTAATATACAGTTTACTTCAGAGGAACCATCATTTACAAGAACTGAAACTATAATACTTAATACTACAGATTTGGATGAAGAACAAGCGAAAGCGCTAATGGAAAAACTTCAAAATGACCCTAATTTTACCTCGCAAAAAACACCAGAAGAACTGTCTAAATTAGGTATAAGAATTATCCAAGATTTAGATGATGAACAAACCTCAAGTAACGATATCGTAGAATTAACAAAAACTAGGTATTCTATAAATCCATCTACTCAGTCTAGCACACACAGATATTCTAATGAGGATCACTCCAAAGATTCAGATGCGCAAAAAGACCATGTAACAGAGATACAAGTAATCACACCACGAACTGAGAAAATTATAAAACAGAAATCTGATTTGAGTAGAGACAAAATATCTAGTAGACAACGACTACCTCCTTACGAAGAGCCTTCTTTATCTTATGAACTAGATATCGAAATGCTAAACGACTTTATCCTAAACGAACAGCACCACTCGGCTAAACAGCAGGCCGACGTGAAGAAACGAGCAAAACCGAACCAGAACACAAACGAACCAAAGAAACGGCACTCCGATTTCGATTTACCCAGAAACAGTCATATCAAATTTCGGACGGCCACCTACGAATCTCCGAAGGGTACAATAGTGACAAGCACAGATCTAGAGAACCGGAGATTGTCACAACTTGATCAAATGCAACTCAGGGCTGGAGATCCACTTGTAACGAGTCAAAAACCGGCGATATCTGCAAAACCCAGTAACATACCGGTTAAAATGTCAGACAAACTTGCAAAGCCAGTAGTTGTGTCATCAAAAATTCCGATTTTTAGTCAAAAGTCACAGAGTCAGGAGAATCTATCAGATAAAAACTTCTCATTACCTCGTTCTCCGCCACCCACCCTAAGCAGTAGTTCCGGGAACATTTCAGTCACATCCATCAAAAGTAGTTCTAGAAGTCCCAGTGGAGGAAAATTGTAAATTTATTCGTAATACGTTTAGCGTATTGTATTTTTAAGTAAATATATATATGTTTTTGATCTGTTTACTATATTTCTTTTGGTATCATTTGTGATATATCTTTTATGTACGAAATAAAACAATTAATGGTTTTAATCAGTAATTAAAATAAAAAACTAATTAATTTCTTGTCATTCTTGTTGTTTCTCTGTTTTTAAAGCACGTACACTACTTCTTGAATATTTTATTTTATAATTTGACAATATTATTCTTTTAGCATTTACACTAATGTCTTCCAAAATCATAGAATTTTTATTATATTGAATATGAAGTTTTTTTTTAATAAAATTATATCTAAATTTATATAATACTAAACAAAATAATGTGCCTTCTAGTTGTTAATAACAATGAATATTTTTTATTTTTAAAATATAAGATTACAATTTATTGTGGGTTGTGAATGTAAACTAACGTAGTCTATGGCAATCTGTCACAATTTCTAATAGAACTTATTATACACTTACAATTATAATTAATGCAAAAGACATTAAAATTATTGATATATATATAATTTTAAAATACTTCCATACTTTCCAATTCCGTCCCATAAGTATTACCATTATTAACTTATCGTACTTAGTTATTATAAGAGTTATTTTAAAACAACAGAAATGTTTACAAATTTCTGGGCCATTTAAATTATTAGATGGTTAAATTATCAATTACGTTTAAGTACTTATATTTATTAACAATATACAGGAGTTAATTGTTAAAGTTGATTATTTTAACTTTTGTATAAAAACAAAAGATTATGTTCTATGAAATGCATTAAAAAAAACTAATAACATTGTCACATAGTATACAAATTGTACCTACTTTATTGATGTATAAATAAATGGAATAAATGTTTACTAAATGTATTTTATTTTTAAAGTAAATATCTGTCATGATTGTATACTTGACGTAGTATAAAGGTTAAGTTTCGTTAAGTTAATGACGAGTAAAAAGAGTCGGTTCTCCTAGCAAAAATTGTTTGTTTATTAATACTGTTAATACTTTAGAATTGAGACCTGCAGCTGGATTTGCATTCCTTCTTCAAGGTTCTTTTCATACTTCCACTACACCTGTATACGTAACAAGTATTCCTATATGCGTTATAGCAGGCCTTCCTGCATCTCTTACGAGCACCTTTTTGGCAACTCTTCGACCATCGTAAAACGTTAGGGGTTTCATTTGGGAATGTCTCTCCAGCTGAATCACTGCTCTCAATTAGTTTAGAGACATCATTATTTTTAATAGATGTCGATTCGACTCTCATTTCTTCAGAACGTGAGGGTTTTTCTTTCTAGAAAAGAAAGGTACATTACATTATCATACATTAAAAAAACATGATGTCCACAGTGCTGTTCGTGTATGTAGGCGACGATATTTACCGCTTTCTTTTAGGTGAGCCGTCATTTTGTTTGGCATTCGATTTTATAAAAAAAATACTTACATCAAAAACCACGACTGCTAACACATTAAGGTCATTCAAAGATGAATCCAGTAAGTATTCTTTCGATACGTTTACATCTCCGTCATCATTTATATGTGATGTCTCAAATATATTCATTGCTTTGGTGCCATCCTAGGATCATAGAGATTTTGTTACAACTTTTATAGCTTTGGAAACAGTAGGGACAGTAAATTTCCACAGATTCATTGCCTAAAAAAATTTATGTCTAAGTAATTGGCTCTTTTTGAAGATCTTTTGAAACAAGTTGCACCTTGTGCACTGTTAACGCTTAAGGTATATAATGCAATTTATGTATGTATGTATCTACCAGGCTTTCCTGGTAGAACTGGCTATTCCAATAACATGTCATCCACAGGGAATTCATCCCCACATGGTGGAAACTAACTGCTTTCTCCCGCGTACACCCAGATTGTGTAATGGGTTTTTCAAGAAGGGTATGTTAAGGTTTCTTTAGAGGCGGCAACGCGCACTCGACAGATTACGGTACCATCTAACATCAGATGGGCCGTATGATTGTTGCCGACGTCGTAGTATAAAAATGTACTCTTAACTGAGTTAAGAGATACATAAATTTATGTTCGACTGTATTAGAATAGAGAGTGGGAGCGAGTAATATGGTAAGTTGTTACCACGTTTCGTGCACACAAGACGTAGGTCTCTCATCCTGCGATTTTAAGGACTCTCTTCATAAATGGCATTTTTACTGTACAATCATTTTAGCTACGACTAACGTCGATTATATGAGGTACAAAATTTCTAATGAAGGATAATTAGGGATTTATACTTTTATAGATATTTAGAAAGAACTTACACCGTATAATAAAATTACAAAAAATATAAGTGAAACGAAATTAGATATCATTACTAAATAAATTAACAATTCGTAAACAATATACAAATTAAAAACGGATCTACAAGTGTCAACAAATAAAGGTATATACTATGTGTATATACCTACAGTAGGTAACAGAATTGAAATAAATTCGATTTGCCGGTTGTATGAATTTTAATTTATTTGAACTATAAACGGTGAAAAGTCTATTTATAGATGGGATGAATAAACAAACAGAAAATCACACTTTTGCTTTTACATTGGATTTTATAACTTTTCCTGCTGAAAGAATTATAATTGAACGATGCCACAGGAGAACATAACTTTGTTATAGATGTCGTTGAGTGACACGAGTATGACGCGGAGGTAGTAGTAACTTTTCTGTTAATCAAGACAAAAACTAACTATTAACTGAACGATGTACCAGGAGACTATAAATTTGTAGTATTTCTCAATACATGACGTCCTGTGTGTGACAGAGATGGTTGTTAGGTGTATAAAAGAGACAGCTATTGTACGATTATTGCTGCTTACAACTGAGATGTTCCCTATTGGTCTGTAGGCATCAACTCATGAGTGCAAATTATGTGAGATGCAATGATTGGTCTATGACCAATCATTGCATCTCACTCGTTATTAATATCAATCTACCCTACACTTGTGACTAACACATGTCACCTACAATGTGAATTACGAAAATTATGTTTATATTTAAAACATTAATTGAGGATCATATATTTCTAAACATACACTATAAATTGATTTTCAGGCACTAAGGGCTTGAACGCCAAACAGCTTGCTTTGTAAGCTATGCTTCAATTGAAAGATAACAGACCCACTTCCGCATTAGTATTTTCTTATACTACGATGATGGCAGACAAGCATATGGCCCATCTATCATGGTAAATGGTAGTAGTAGAGCCTAGAGACGCTTGAGACACCAGGGGTGCACCTGCGTGTTGCGGACTTTTAAGAAACCTTAACATACCCTTCTTGAAAAACCCCATGCTGTAGTCTCGTGTGAAAACCTCGGCAGGAAGTTCATTACATAATCTAGGTGTATGCGAAAGGAAGCTTCTCTGAGACCCCACTGTCCAAGAATCAGAATAGAATAATAATAACAACAGTATGCATATTTGGTTTATTAAAATTTCCTTTTAAAGGAGATTTAATATGATTGTAAAGATAATATATACACCACGAGGTAGAATCTAATAGGTATAAAATAAAAGCAACTACAATAATTCTTACATAATGCGTCAGTTTTTTATTCACTAGCGCTGTACGTGCCTCTAACAAACCTACTTTTACAAGTCATTCTGCACTCCTTCTTAGCATTTCTCTTCATTTTTCTAGTGCATTTAAATTTAGAACAAATATTAATAAAAGACGAAATACACGCATTTCTGCATATCTTCGCTCCCTTTTTGACGCATGAAAATTTCCCGCTTTTACGTCTAGTATCGTCGTAGTCTTCTATGTTTTCTTCTCTTTGCGTTTTTACTGTAAAAAGAGATTCTCCTGGTTCTATTTCGTCTGTTATGGTTTTGAAAATATTTTTAAATGAATAATCTTCATTCACATCATTTCGATAATTCTGTTTCGCAGATAGTATCACAATGAGTCTCTGAGAATAGAAAATCCGTAATCCATAATTACTAATATTATAAATTCTGTCTGCCTGGTACCTTCACACGACTAAGCAACGAAATGGATTTTAATTAAATTTTACGTGAAGATTGATGGATTACGAGTAGAGAAATAAGCTATCTTTTATTTAAGAAAGGGAGTAAATGAAGGCGCAAGAAACAATTAGTTAATAATAAATGCAAATAATTGCCCGTTTCTCTGTTTGTTAAATTTCCACTATTTAATTGAACAGATCTTCATGAAAGATCTGAAGATATCACAACTACAGACGTGGATAATTTTTCTTTACATCGTAGGTATAAAATAAATTCCTTTCCGCTGTCTGTTCGCTTAAATCTTATAAATTACGCAACGGTTTTTATGCAGTTTTTAGTACAAAACCTGTGAAACCGGGGTAACCGGATGACAACTAGAAGGTACAGATCAACTTACATCCAGATCAATAGCTACAAATTGAAGGTCCTTTTGGGTATTTTCTAATTTCCTAAATGCATTCCTCAAATTTCCCCTAATTGTAATAAAATCTTGCAATTTGAAAAGTTTATTCAAAACGTCAATTCTTTCCTCATTGACATCGACTATAGATTTCAGTAGATTAGCGAATAAGTTACGTGCTGCCTTTGTTTCAGAATTTAAATTTGCCTGAATATGCAATTCGGGAATATCTGACGACGCCTAGAAATGTTAAATTAATAAATTAAATAAAAATTAAACTAAAGTAAAAAGTTGTCTGCGTGGATTCCTCTTTACTTATGTCACCTTTATCCTTTAGCGATTTAACACACAGCTATACTTCCGATGGTCGTGATTTCGATTCCTCGCACGATACAAACGTTTATTTTCATGTGAATGTTTGGATCAGTCTGGATGTTTTCTATGTAGGTATATTATGTATTTACAAAATCTAAATATTTATATCAGTGGTCTATCAGTAGCCATAACACAAGGTCTGCTTAGCTTAGGACTAGAAGGCGTTGTGTGAAATGTCCAGGGGTATTAGAAATTCAATTACCAAGCACCTTACTTTGTAAGCTGTATTTCGGTTAAAGGGCGATATTTTCTTAGCTTGGATGGATCGATGTTATTAGTCTTTCACGCAAAAACTATTGAATGGATTTTGGATGAAACTACAATAATATAGCTTATAGATCAGAATAACACATTGACTATAAATTCCACACTGCTGAAACCGCATGCAGAGCTAGTATAACAAAAAATACACCTTAACACATACTCAATGTGTGAAATATTTTATCAATGATGATAAATAATCCTTTTACTACAGCCTGGCCAATTTATTAGTGGCACTACAATTTTTATCCAAATTTTGATTATTCAGTACATACCTAATTATTATGAATTGATTATATGTCTATTCTCACAACGTCACTATATAGGTGATATCACAAATAAAACGTGGTAGGTACCTGTTATAAAATATTTTACTTTATAATAAAAATGAAAATATAACAATAGTAAAAGTTTGTACCTCTAATAATTTGGCCGGGAAATATACTTGCCTTATGTACCATTGTAACTGCAATAAATAGCAATCCACTCAAAAATATCATTTCACAATATGTAAATACGAAATATTGTAGGTTGTAGGTCTACCATAACTACGCTACGCAGTCTATCAATATTGTAACCATAATTCAATTATTTTACTTATTCATATTACTAACTGCTTGACTGGTTTACATTATTAGAATTTAGCATGTACCAGCCTACAATCATTTCCAATTTGAAACTATAAGTAAAATCTTCGTTTTATATTATAATATACAACGATGATTTTACTTATAGTTTCAAAGTCACTGGAACTTTTTTCCAATTATTCTAATACTGTTGGAGGCAGCTAGCCTTTACAGCTTCACGGAATGATAGGGGGCTAATGCATATGGTACTCCAAACCCGCGCAAGGACTTATGAAGAAGCTGAATGTCAACTCTTTACGGATACGACTTTAGTCAGAGGTCACCGCCAGGGGTTCGAACCTCGACTCAGGCTGTCGTAATTTCTATCCCCGTTGGAAATCGATGTAAGAGTCTGTGACAGATCTACAAGAATAAAGAGATTTTGATTTGATCTAATAAACAAATACCTGCAACTTGGAGGTATTGTTATATTGAGCTAGGGGTTCGAACATCGACTCAAATTTTAATATCCGTTTGAAATGAACGAGGGATCGATCGGAATTACAATAAGTAGACAAACACCGTCAGTAGTTAACATCATTAAGAAAAAATATTATTATATACATATACATAATGATGGCCAGGGGCGGATCGTGAATTTGTGGGGCCCTGGGCTAAATCTACTTAGGGGCCTACCTACCGTACCTAATTATATTACTCAATTAAAAAATTACGCCGACCAAAAACAAGCGATCAGAAATTCCCTGTTCCTTTCAGTAGACGCGCTGTTGCCAACCTTATAATAGGTTCGTTTCATTGGGGACTGAGGCCCTTTGTATCCTCGAGGCCCTGGGCTGCCCTGGGAGCCCAAAAGACCTTAGGTAAATCCGCCCCTGATGATGGCTATACATAGTCCTAATATCATCAAATAAATTTCATACATAGTGTGATGATTTTAATAAATTTCATCTGGAGGGAAGGATACTGTTAGTATGTGGACTAATAATCCTATTGCTAGCAATGTACCACATTAGGTTTACCTCCATGTGGTTCTCCCTGGAAACCATCATGCTAAATTGCTATTTACCAAGAGGGCTAACTGACCTGACTCCATGCTCAGTATATCATCCTCCACTGGTGCCCCACCAGCGTACCATTATCACAGATGGCTGGAAAATTTCATTATTCAGTACATACCTAATTATTATGAAACCAACCAATCAGTTACCAATTCCTCATTTGCTATTGGATAAATAAAAGAAACATTTATGACAAAAGTTATTTACAGTTTTTAGTAAATAGACATTTATTTACACACAACAAAATTCAACAACTTTGTCACTTAAATATATTAGGCTTATGGCTTACTAAGCTATATTCCTTTTTGCAATAATAATAAATTCATTATTTTTACATATATTAAGTACCACATTCATGACTTACTATTCATTCCAAAAGTATTTAGAAAATTCATCTAGTTAAGTTCATCTTTTGTACTGTTTCATTTGATCAGTAAAGTTATTTCAATAAAAAATAAAATAGTCTATTATATCAAATAAAATTTAAAAAACTATGTAGAACTCTGTCGATAATTTTTCGTGTCCAATATTTTCTTGCCACACATTGCACAGATGCCTTTCTTATAAGCACATGCTTGGCAGTAATGTGAACCGACTTGGTGTACTTTTGTTCTGCATATTCTGAAAATATAAAATAGTAGTTAGAGCCCTATTACACTACCAAATAGATAAATTCTTGAGAACAATGGTGTGAGCATGGTGTTTTTTATGTTACACTATCAAATAAATTGGTTCTCAAGAACAATATGTCTTGAGGCTTTTTTATGTTATTGGAATTATAAACAAGCTGATAGCCCACTCGATTATAAGTAAAGAGAAATAATTTTTATTCAAATAAACTCTATTAAGTAATATATATTTTTACCATACATTATTTTCCTAGATATCTCATCATTATATGACACTGCAACACCTTTAAGCTTAGATATTCCAGAGGACTAAAAAATCATGCTTCCATATCATGTAATTTTACTTTTTTATCTCTCAACCTTTAATCAAAACATATTTAATAGAAATCTGCCTGGTGGTAAGTAATAACAACAATTATAGGCATGGAATTTACAGAGTGTACACACAGTGTAGCACAACACCTCTTTTACATATGTTTCTTGCATGTTATGTACTGATGCTTGCGACTTTGTCTGCATGGTGATTATTATTTCGACTTCAGTTTTCACAATGTACCCATTTCAGTACATAACATTTTCAATTTACATTTTTAAATCCATATTGTAGTGAATTCGAATGACATAATCATTAAATAAGAGAAAAAGGACCTAACTTATGACTTCTATTGATATAACAATTTTATTATATAAAACTTACAATAGAAATAAATATATAAATAAGAATAAATAGTGAGGGGTTGACGAAATATTTCATTTTGTTGAGGTTACATTATACAAAGCAAGATCGCTGGAAGGCATTGGATGCGAGCAGCGCAGGACCGATCGTGTTTTATATTATAATATATTATATTATACAAGCACAGATCTCAATACCTTCTAATGCTTCTTTATAGACGACATTTGACGTAAAGTGATTCAGAACATGGACAAATAGTATGGTTGGCTAACATCGACGGGAGAATAAATTCTGAGAACTATTAAAAATAACAAAATATACTAAAAAAATATTTGTCACAAAATATTTCTAAATTCAACATTTTCTCTTTACTTAATAATATTCACAAGATTGATATAAAAAGGCCAGTATTTACAAAGAAATACAATTATAACTTTATTCTTTACTTACTTGCATTCTTGGAACTTTGAGGTGTAAGGGTTAAAACGACCCTTTTTAGCAGTCAATGCTTTGTTCTCTCCTACTTTTCTACCACCAGACTCGACTGTATTTCGAGCACCGGCTTTCCAGGGATCTGGAGTAATCACTTTTCCGAGTTTCTTTTCACACTTTTCGCATACCATTTTAGTTTACAAAACAAACTATAACCTCAAACTGCGACTTGTATGTTATGTTGATGACGCCGATGCTGATTTGAATTATGCAGAATAGAAGAATGGTAAGCTGTAATTTACTTAAAATACCGTTTTTAATTTGTTAAATAGTTGTTATATACAAATTGAAAATAATATTTTAGTTTAACTTTCACTAAAACACCAAAATAAAACAAATTTATTTACTATCTTTTAAGTCAAGTTGACATTTGTCAAATGTCACAGATGTCACACTATAACCTACTCTGTGAGGAAGGGTAAATAAAGAAAGAAAAAAGTATTCAATCACGTGGGATATTAAAAAAATTATAGAATATTAAGGTATAAAAATGTAATTAGGTTTTTTATGAATGATAAACTCAAGTAGGTATAAGTTTATATTGTATATAATTTAATAAATTAATAATATTGTGCATCCTTCTAAGCCAACGTTATACGCTAGTGGGCCACCACTGGAGGATGATAGGATAGGATGAAGACGAAATCAGATCAGTTTGTGCTTTGTTGTGAATTAGCCAGAAATACCACGATAATTTCCAGGCCGACAGCGTGGATATTGACATAATATAGTACATTACTATCCATAGCAATCTCGTCCCCCTCAATGTATTTAGTTAAAACACAGATAACATTATATTACATAGTTAAAGCATATCTTCTATTCCGAAAATTGATGCAATATATTCACATTACTTATATAAAGATGCTATGCCTCATAAATTTAATAGGAATAATCATAGTAGTAATAAATTTAATATTCCTGTTTAGGTATGTTTCAAATAATAATAGATAATATTACTATATCTTCACGCTTGATATCCCAGGTGAGGTAGTTGAGTCATTTGGGTCAATCCTGATAATACATATAATGTGAGATACATTTTTGTTATATAATAACCCTGAACAATTCACACAGTGCCACCTAGTCTCAATTACCTTGAGACTAGGTGGCACTGTGTGAATTGTTGCAGAGCTTTTATTATGGGCACTAGTAGTAATACATACAATTTACATAGAAAACACCAGTTACACCCAGACCTCATGAATACAAATGTCTATACCATGCGAGGACTTGAACCCGCGACAATCGAAAATAAAGCGGTTTACCTAACCGCTAGACCTCCGAGGACGTCAATCGTTATGGATGATAGAACGGTGAAGCCACCTTCGATAATGGTTGCTAGCTATGCACTAGCGGGTAATAGGCCGAAATAATGTTCACCAGATATTTATTAATAATAAAGCTTTACTGGAACTGATAAAGTGGTAATAATAAAAAAAGCAAGTATCTATATCATAAACATTATTTTATTGAGCAAAAATATTACTTTGTGAGTCAATACATTTTCAAGTTTTATTATAGATACTATAATTGCGATTATTACGAAATTAATAAGATATTCTGTAATTACTTATTTTAAAAACTGAAGAAATTCATCATATTATTAATGAAATTGAAAATTATTTTAATTATTTACTATTTGACAGAAACTATCCGGCATTTAACAGAAAAAAGTACTATTTAGGTATTTTTATCTATAGTAATAATCGAATTAGTTGAGATCATGTGCACAATTGCATATGTGCAAAATTATGGCACGTTGTACGAATGAAGCTATAATTATTTTTTAATTTCGTCCATTCTATGAATTTCAGTACCATAATCGCAAAAAGTTATTGCTTACGTAGTGATTATAGGCATTCTAAATCCCTAGTCTGATTTTTTCCCATGCACGTATCATGCCCTCACATTACAGACAATTCTAATCGACAATTGTTTTAACAACTTGTCTAACATTGAAAGCCTAAAAATATTCATAATTACTCCCTATAATGCTAACACAATACATTATAAAATAAAAATTAAAACGATAACAAATATTGCACAAAAAATAAACGCAACTCTTATAAATGTCGCTAACTTTGACTATATACTTTTTCATTAGGCGAATTACTTCTTTTGCTTTCACTTACAACATTCTGTTCTTGACTTATTTGGTCATTTGCTATTTGATTTTCTGTACCGTATTCTTGATTGTACCCGGTGTTATCATAATTTTGCTGATTGGCGTAGTTTCCATCAGTACCGTAGTTCTCATATTGTCCTTCATACTGTGCGTTAGGATCGACATATTGTTGAGGATATTGTTCATAATTCTCGTACTGTTCAGTGTAAGCTGGTTGCTCATAATTTTCTTGGTATTGTTGGTTTTGATATTCAGTATCAGCAGTAACAGGGGCTTGTTCATAACTCTGATCGTAATTAAAATTACCTTCTTCATATTGTGGTTCTTTTTCGTACTCTTGGTTATGCTCAACTTCCATTTGCTTTTCTTCTTCTTTGTGTATTGTTTCTGGATCTTGAATAACATCTTGGGTTGGTGTCAATTCTGCATAATTATTAGCGGTTATGTCTTCAGTGTTTACTGTATCTTGATGTAATGAAGTTCTAGAGTCTTGCCTTACTGTTCTAACAGCTTGGTCGTTGTTCCTGTCAATTCCGTTTGATTGGATGCTTGGGAGCGATGGGTCTCCATAGTCGGTGTATCTGGCGGCGTCAGCTCTGGTATTGTCTGGTCTGGTATTGGGCGTGGTATGTGGTACATCTCTGCTGGCTGTGGAACCGTACGTGGAAGGTGCTGCAATAGATATTATATATTACTATTTTTCTGTGTATATACAAATACATCATCATTTCAACCCGTGCATCGTTCATGACTGATTGTGGTTTTTCCTGCTCTTCTTTTATTATTTTTATACAAATATTGAACCAGATTTTGTGTATCTTTAGAAAAAAAGATATTTTCTTATCGGTCTACTGCAAGCTACAAAAGTTTCATTGTATATTATTTTAAGTAACTAGAATGTTAAAATAGTTAATGATCCACCTGATTGAAAGCAACCATTTTTGTGATTAACACCACAGACAATGCGACGTCACGTGACACTCGTGATACTGTTCTTATGTTGTTACTCATAAGGATTACTGTATCATGCCCTAGCATCCTGTAACCTCACTTTCTCACCTATCAAACCGAAAAACAGCTAACACAATTATCTAGATAGACGACCTTGTACAAGGTCTACTTCATAGAATCATACCTTGATAAGCGCTAGGTGAGGGTGTAGTAGCCGGTTGCAGCGACTTTCCCAGGCTCTCTACTTGACGGTGCAGAGCGGCCAGTTCTTCCCTGAAGCACACACACAGTGATAACACACGCACACGTGCATTAATAAATTCAAATACATGCTCAATTCTTTAGTTATTCAACATTCTACAATCTGGCAATGTCTTAATCCAGGTGCCGTCATCCAAACGGCTGCGATACCATAAAATAGTAAACCAATTATTTCAAAGTCTAATTTCAAAGGAAAATCTCCCATTTCTCTCATAAAGTTGTTGAGATTAATACAGGCAGATTATTCAGTTACCTAATTGTATGACTTATTTATTTTAACAACACAATATTAATTAAAGCATCTCATGTCATATAAATATCAAGTATTACAACACAAGCACTAATCTTTTAATAAATATGTTTTCAAATTAAGTCAAAAATATTTCAAATTTTACTATCATTGCTATTATACACTGATCCGATATATATTCTAACTACCATGCATATATTACATTACCATGCACACCAAAGACTTTTAATGGAATTTTACGCTTCAAATTACCCCTTACCTTAACTGGATCATCGTCAGAATCTCCAATTCTATCAATTGACAAATCGCTCAGATTCCTTGACAAAACACCAACATCATCTCTGGGCGTGTCTTTAGAACTCAAATCATCGGTTTTCTTATATCTATTTCTATTTGTGTAAGGGGATGAAGTATAATAAGTGCGGTCTAAATCGTAAGATGATCGACTATTTGGATATCCACTTAATGGGGTGTAGCTTCGGTATGGCGTGATGGTGGTGGTGCAATATTTCTTATGAGAAGACCATAGGTTCCTCAGTTTTCTCATAAGTTCAACATTCCTGCAAAGCAATTGGGTTCTTTCTGTTCTGAAAGGGAAATTGGTTGTTATATCAGTGAATGTGCTAATTTGTTAGACCAATCTGCAAATACAATAAATGTAATAGACTACTTAAATACTGTTCGTGCTATAAGTACCGGGTACAAATCTGTGCATGGTAAAAATTAAGCCGCTCTAAGTAGTTACGTAAGTATATAGGTTGCAAATACAATCGTTGACCGTAGGTGACTATGGCAAGACAATGACGATCTGATACTATATTAGTAAACATCCAAATAAGGTATATTTTGTAGTTAATACTGTTAATACAAATGAAAGGATTGATTCACTATTTTTGAAATATGCATATAAATGCCATTAAATAAATAATATTATTCGAACTATAAAATTCGAATGATAAATAAATTGGTAGTTTGGTTTTACTCTGTTTTAAATTTTGAATTTTATGCTTTATAAAAAAAATCTCGTTCATTCAGTTATGAATTATATAGTAGTTTTATTCAAATGATAAAATACATTAATTTAAAAGCGACATTTATTGCACAATCAATATATGAAATATATTTACTACCTAATTAATTTGTAATCATTACCCATTTAGATTTTGTAGTTGTTAACAATGTAAATAACTATAGCAAAAACATACAATACTGTCAAATATAGAATAGAGTACTAAAAAATTTTGATAACAATATTTCAAAAATTAAAACAAACTTCATCTTTAAATATTATTTTAAAACTACAAAAAACATCAAAAGCTATAACATCCATAATTTATACGTAATGCACATTTAATAAAAACAATACAAAATTGTCTAACAACGCAACTTTTAACATATAAATACAACTACCATTATCATATAAGTACACATGAAGTCGTATAATTATAATTTAAAATAGCAGCAATTTAAGTATCATAGTTAATTAATTTTACTTCACAATCTGGTAACGTTATATGAAAAACTAGGATTGGGAGACCTATGCTTCTCCAGCATCTACGATCTCTTCTCCAGTATTTTGATTTTCACTTTCAGATAATTCTTTATCTAGATCCACTTCGTTTACTTTATTATCATCTACTGTTTTAACTTCGTTTTCTGTTTGTTCTATTTCAGTCGTATTTATTGCTTCCATTTTAGACGCATTATTCTCATCTACAGCCACTTCTATTTCAGGATCTGTATTACTTGCAACAACTGAATCAATGTTCGTTTCAGTTTCAGTTTCTTTTATTTCTGACTGTGCATCATTTAGTTCTGAATGGAGATTTTGAGAATGACTCTCTACATTAACTAATTCTACTGTTTCACTTAAAACATTAACATCACCATCAATCACTTCCATGCTTATTGTATTACTAACAGCTCCATTATTTTCTGTTTCTATTACAATGTCTTTTACTCGCGATTCTCTTCTCTTCTTTTCTTTCTTCCTAGATTTAGGTATCAATTTTACACTAATGTCAACTTTGATTGGCTCCTTTTTCTCCCGTAAAAAGGGCTGTTGAATCATTAGTGGTAGATTGTATATCTTCTCTCCTTGGATGTTGGCGAGATCCTGATTTGTCGTTAAGGGCCCGACAATAATTGGCGGATAATTATTCGACGAATCGGACTCTTTTCCGGAGCGGCGCTTGGAACGGCGCGTCCCTACTGCTGGTTCTCTGCATCTTGTAAGGTCGCGCTGTGTTCTGATTGGTTGCTCTGCAGAGCCGCGACTCTGCGCATTGCCTGCCACCAATAAAAACACAGCACGACGTTAAGAAAATTCTTCAGTCATCTTAATTTTAAATGGGTAATGATTACTTCATTTTAATTGAATTTAAGTGCTTCGAATGGAATACTACAGAAACTGTAAACTCAACATGCTTAATAAGTTGAAAACGTTGCGTACTTGTGCCTACGATTTGCGTCGTCGAGCTTGTCTGTTAGCAAACGACATTCGCCGGTGAGTTTCTCCATCAGACTGTTTTGGGATTGTATCATGGACTCCAACCCAGCGACAGTTTTAGCTGCGGAACCACAATGTTCTTGCTTTAAAGATGATATATTTTCTTCTACTCAAAACCCCAAAGACATAATTATGAAAACTAAACTGGAAGACAAGTATATTCTTTGTCACGTTGTAATTCTTTATAAATGATGTTGTATTTAATAAAATAAACAATCTGATGAATAAACTATTGATAAAAAAACCAGTAGAAAGCCCTTTCACTATTTGATGTACATGCAAGCACAATAAATGAAAGGGTAAATTATGAATGTTTTGAATTTTAACTCAACTCTTCTAATTTAAGATTAAATACAGTTTTCATTGGTAATTTCAAAACATCAATAGTTTACCCATGACCACTATGCTGTTCCCATCTTCTCAAATAGGTATCTAAGTTACTTTATCCTAATGTGCCCGACACCTTATTATGATTAAACTACGTACCATGCTTATTTTCCATAGATTCCAGCATTGTTGACAATTCTTTCTCCTTCTTAATCTTCTGTGGAGATATCGGTGTCAAGTTTTTCATATTTAACTGTGAAATAAAGTTGTTCAAGTTTTAAAGGCCAAATTTGCTTTGTTTAAAAGTCATCATTTATAGGCCACCCATAAATTATGTCACATATTAAGACGGGCGACTTTAGCAGGATCACAAAGTAAGTGCCAAAATCATGACATTTAGGACCCACACTTCTCTCCTAGGGCGTATCTTACATTATGAGACATCATATGTGATTATAAGAGCGTTTCTAAAAATATCCTTAATTTCTTGTCCCTGTCCGTGTCTAAGTAGCGAACTTTGCAAAAGAGTGAACACAATAGATCTATGCAGATCGTGCTACAGATCTCTTTAGGATCGAGTAGAGCTCAAAACCCTTTATAAAAAAATACGGATGGCTCGTTATATAAATTTTCTTTTATACAATTCGTGAAATGTTCTTAAACGTTTTTATTGCTATTGACTTACTTCCTTCTCAAGTGTAGCAATTTGCTCCGTGAGACGTAGATTCTCTCTGCGGGAATGAACCAAGTCAGCATCCGCGCGATCCAAACGCTGACGGAGAGATTGTATCTATGGAACATGAAGGAAATTTCGTATTATATTATCTTACGTTGTAGAATGATGTAATTTTATCATTTATGTCTATGTAAGATTTTTTCAATTATTCTAATGCCGTAACTGGCCTTTACAGCTTCACCGAACAATAGGGGGCGAGTGCCAAATCCACGGAAGGCCAATTCTTGCATGACAAATACGACTTTAGATTGAGAGCACCAGTAGGCGTTCCAACCTTAGCTCAGTCGTCATTTCGATCCCCGTTTGAATTGGACACGGTATCGATCGGAGGAGAGATCGAATAGTTTTTTGAGTTCTTCTCAATTAAATTTATAGACAGAACTGGACGATATTAATAAAAAAAATACCTTAAGAAGCGACTAAAATGTCCAAGATGAATATTTTAAATTGATTATTGATTTTAAAGTATGCAACGATTTCGTACAAAATCTTGCTAGTTGTCATGTATATAATAAAGGACATAGAGTTTTTACATTTAAGTACTTAGTATTTCTGATGATCATCTAAAATTTAAATTATTATTTAGAAAGTACTTAAGTGCTTTAATCTATAGATAGATGAATGATTTGTATTTCTTATTGGTTTTAAGTTTCCAAACCTCAGAATTAAGGCGATTGGTTTCATGTTTGGCCTGTCGCTGCTGACGTTCCATAGCTAGTCTGGCGCTGGCCAGTTCCTCGTCAAGAGAAGCCTTCTCAGCATGAGCTTGGGCCAGATCCGCTTGCAGTGAAGCTGTAACATTACATTCATTATAATTTTATAGAAAACTAGCTTTCACCCGCGACCTTTTCCGATTTTTGGAGAACGATAGTCTATTTACGTCATCGACAAAAAACCTATCTTAAATCCAAATTGCATTAAGATTCGATCGATGTCAAAATATAAGAAGCCGACGTTCGTCTGCTCAGTCTTTTATAATATTAGTGCATAGGAGTGGTGGGATTGTTAGTAATAGAACCTCCATTATCTCTCTAACTGCTACCAATATATACTCCCACGCGTGGAAACTAACGCGGTTATTTCCTGGTGATTTCGCCACGATTCTACGATTATATGCTGTTTCGTAAATATTGCTTATGTATGCTCTGCTTAGGCTGGGGCTAGATGGCGTTATGTGAATTGTCCAGGATTATTATTATTATTAACCAACCTGTTTTATTCTTTAACTCCATTTTAAGTTCTTCCACTGCTGCGTTCTTCATGGACAGCTCTCGTTTAAGCTCATTTTCTTCTCGACGTTGACGTTCAAGATCAAGCTGAATATAATACATGTATGTATATATATATTACATATACAATTGAAATAAAATCTTAATTAACTATCTGACAGAGACTAGATTGGCTATTTTTTTTAATAACAAAATCTTAAATATCATTGCACTTTTTTTCGGACTACTAATGTTGTTGGCCGCAGCTTAACCGCAGCTATATGGGCGAGTGCAGATGGCACTCCAAACACGTGGAAGGACTTATAGACCGACTGAATGCCAACTCCTGCCTGACAGATACGACTTAATACGGCCATCGATACGGGTTCGTACTTCGGCTCAGAAATTCCAAACGAGTTTCTATCCCCGTTAGAATTGGACGGGGTAAGAGTATAAGAGTCTGTGATAGATCTACATAAATTGATAAACAAATTTATTTAATTTATTAACCGGGTCTTAACACGAATAATTTTATGGCAAATAAAGGTATTTACTGTCAGTCAGCTCGTGACCACGGCTAGTGCAACCTAGTCGAAACGTCGAGAGAGGTAAATACCTTTATTTGCCATAAAATTATTCGTGTTAAGACCCGGTTAATAATTTAAATAATGTATATTAAACACGAAAGTTTAAAATTAACTATTGATAAACAAATACCTGCAACTTGGAGACATTGTCATATTGAGCTGCAAGATCGTGTTGTAACTCATCGAAGTGTGCGTTATAGCGTTGTTCCGCTGCACTTCTCTCCTGTATAGCTCTGCGCGCGCCTTCGCCCGCTAGCTCTCGTATCTTGGACCGCTCTTTTGCAAGTTCATCCTGATAATATTGTTTAAAACTGCTTATTGACTCGGAGATCTCAGTTTAACACACCGCTTTACTTCTGATGGTCAAGGGTTCGATTCCAATGTTTGTATCGTACGATACAAACATTTGTTTTCATGAGTTCATACTCATTCACTTGTTTCTATCGATCTAGGTGTGTATGTATTTACAAAAAAAAATAAATGTTTATATCAGTTGTTAGTACCCATTGTGACCCAACTGACATAAATATAAAAATTCATACATGAGCCCTGCTTACCTTGAAACTCGATAGAGCTGTGTGAATTGTCCAGGGTCATTATCATTATTAAAAATAAATAAAGTACCTGACTCTGACGGTAGGGATACTCTTAAAAATATGAAGTGCACAAGAGGCCGAAAGGTCCTATGTTAATAATTAATATATTGTAATACCTTGAGTCTACGTATTTCAATTTCCAAATTGTTCCTCTCTTCCCTGAGCTGCTGTTCCACCACATCGGAGCCACGCTTGTATCTGCCATCCGAGTCACCATCCTTCTCTTCTAAGTTCAGCTTCAACTTGGATATTTGGTTTTCCAAGGATGACTTGTCTCTAGAAAAATTGTGTCTCATTTTAAACACCATATACTAGAACTAGACTTCAAAAAGTCGTCAGGTAAGACTGATGTACCCATACCTCAGTCTTACCTATTTCAGCTGCCAAGCAGGTTGCTTTTTAAGCTGTATTTTGGTTGTAGAATACGAAAAGTCTATTAATTTCAGGATAAAAGGCATGACATCTTAATCCAATGGAATGGTAACGCTTGAGTATCACGGGTGTCATGTTATAACGTGATGTTGGTAGTGATCATGTATATAGATATAAATTTATGGTAAATAAAGATAATTACCTCTCACGATGTTTCGACTAGGTTGCCCTAGCCTAGCACTAGTGAACACGGCTAGTGCAACCTAGTCGAAACGTCGTGAGAGGTAAATACCTCTATTTACCATAAATTTATTCGTAAAATACCCGGTTAACAATATAAACTGAACATGTTTGATCTGGGTTACTGTAACTGTAGAATGTATAATTAAATATGTACAGGTACAATATTGTAAACTACTAACCTTTGCAAATTATCGATTTGCCTTTTGAAGCCATCTAAGCAGGTTGTATCAACCAGCCCAGAGGCTAGTTTGCGTTTGTTCTCATTATTTTCATCCTTAAAACCAGACACACAAATATAAATTATATCAACAATAATATATGTTCACGACAGCTATATTATAAATGAGGTAGGCAGAGACATTGTTTATTTTCGACGTCGTGGTGAACGCAAAACTGACATGCCATATCGCGCTGGAAATATGCATTTGAAATCAACACGACAGGATGAAAATCTACCATGTACGAGTAAATCAGATTTATTTGATTTATTACAAGCGTTTCCATCACCGAAGAGTTAGTCAGAAAAACAATTGACATACAACAGTTTTTAGTGTCGTCTAGAATTCACGATCTTTGTTACCAAATGTATTTGCAAAATTTTAGGAGAGCAATCTCAGGTACTACCTCAGAATCCATCTGCAGCTCGAGCTATCTTAATGCACTTTTAGAAACATATGATCAAAAAGTTCCTTGTATATAGGCGAAGGTTACCACTTACCATCCGATTGGCCAACAGCCTGTTTACCATTCCAATTACATAAAAAACATACTAATTTTATAATATCTAAAAAGACATTGTGTTTTTTATATTTAGGATTACTTTAATTAATCCTTTGAGTTAATATACTTATATTAGATACGTACTTGTAATTTCTTCAAATCGATCTTCGATTGAGTTAACTGGGCCTCTAATTCGGCTATACGAGACTCGAAAACAATATTCGGTCCTTCGAGTCTGGTTGATCGATATTTCGACGGTTTCCTGGCTTTAGGAGACGTCTAGGACAATAAACAAATGTTATTAATTAACTTGAAATTAACCAAGGAATGCGATTATCATTACTAATATTATTTTGTGTCCGTGTTTTTGTGTCTTACAGTCAGTCAAACTTTTTAATTTATAATATTAGAATGGATAATTAATGAAAAGTATGCATTTCTCATCGTTGGTGGTGTATTTTATACTAAAGTTATAAACGCAAAAGTTTGTGTAAAACTATGGACGGATGAATACGGATGGATGGATGTTTGTTACTCTTTAAATTTTACAATAATATAGCTTATACACCATAATACATAAGCTATAAATTTCACGCGGGTGAAATCGTGCTTGTTGGTTGGCTGAGTAAAAGATGGTTGAATATGTTCACCTTATTGTTATCACTGTCCAATCCGGTGCTATCAGCCAGTTCGTCCAGTTCATCAGTCTCGGAGCCGGCGTTGTACGAGTGGAACATGCGGGTGATCAGCTTGTTCTTCTGAGCCTCGTGCAGGTGCTCGTTCTCTGATATCACCTCCTTTACTTTACCGAGCAGATTGTTCAATTCATCCTTGATATCAAAAATAAATCAACGTTAAAAACTGTTTTTTACGAATATCTGTTTAAAATGGGTCAAAGACAAATTAATTAAAAGGTAAATTTTATAAAATGACTAGGCCAGCGCACTGTGGATAGAGGCCATGATCTCGCTTCATGATCGTTTCTGGTCAAAAGATTTCTCTAACAATTCAGCGTTACCTAATACCAAGTTAAGCAGAGCTTAAGTTATGTATGGGTACTAGATATCTAATAGAAATACTAAAATACATTTGTTTTGGTATAAATACATACACAATATACATAGAAAACACTTATACTCATGAATACAAAGTATGCATCATGTGAGAAATCGATCTCGCGACCATTGGAAGAAAATCAGCGTGTTAAGATGTTAGATCAACTCCTGCCGGACGATGGATACCAACTTACAGTCGTGTATCGTTTATTTGCCATTCCAGTTAAGTAAAAATAATACACTTACTCTACAGTATTGACTTTCTCTCTCTAATTGCTCGATGTACTCTTCCTGCTTCTGTATGAAGTTGATGACATCAGGGTTGGTACCGCCAGATAACTCGCCTGCAGAGGCCGCCGGCGCCGCTGCTGTGGCTATATTTTCAAATATCATCTTATATATAAAATTCTCGTGTCACAATGTTAGTTAGCATACTCTTCCGAAACGGCTTGACCGATTTTTATGAAATCTTATGTGAATATTCAATAGGTCTGAGAATACTATTTTTAATTGGGTTATCCAACCCTAACATTTTTTTAAATTTAAATTACAACCCTAAACTTTCACTCTTCTATCACCAACCCCTATTTTTTAATAGTGATATTTATTATTGAGGAATCCTATATACATAGGTATAGCCTATTAGCATACACGCTAAGACCAATAGAAATGGAGCTGCAATTAAAACTATTATAAAAATGGGAAAAAGACGATAGATAAAGATCGAAACAGCTCTTTATCATAAAATCAACTCTATTCCGATTAACTACATAATAAAGTAGTTGCTTACAATTCTCGATTGTACCTAACAGTTTAAAATCGAAAGATTTGTACAACAGCTAATAATCCCTTTATATCCTCCTAAAGTTTAGTGTTGAACTAGTTGACCCCACAATTTCGTACCCGTACGGACCAGATTTAGACGGTTTTTCTTAATTTGCGCTAATAAACGCACAGACAAACAGTTCTGTGTTCTATTATAGTGATGAATTCCCGCAATAACAGTTTTTTCGAATATATATTTCATATCTGTACACGCGATCAGTTCCATTTTTATAATATAGTCTATAAAGACTAGCAACGGCTTTTTTTATTACAATAATTTAAATATCTTTAACAAAAGTAGCATAAGTTACTCCTTATAACATTAACTATCTAAGAGTGAAAGTGTCATCAAAATCGGTCAAGCCGTCTCAGAGATTAGCAAAACCAAACAGACAAAACCAGACAAACTGTTTTTTTTTAATTAATTTATTGATGTAAGAATCGCATGTACTTTCATATGTATTAAGTAAAAAGCTTATAGTTTGAAATTACAAACTGACATTTAAATTTGTGCAGATTACCTGTGGGGACATGTTGAGGCGTATAATTGTTAAGACTGTCAGCGTATAGCGTCGCGTATTTAGCCGTCAACTTCGGCCTGGGCTTATATTCTGATAGGTACATATACTTCTTGTCGAGGTCCCCGTCCGACTCGTCTAAATTCTTTATGGAAGCTGAACCACCATAGCTGCGTAACTGTACGATCAGAAAATTTGGAAATTACAGTGCGGTTGGCTTCGGAGTTCACTAATATGCTATCAACCTTCAAGATGGAGGGGGAAAAGTGATTGTTAGTTATGTGGATTCATGACCCCATAACTAGCAATGTACCATGTCAGATTGACCTCCACGCGGTACCCCCTGGAAACTATCGTGATAAATTCTTGATAAATTTGTCACGATAGGCTGACAGACCTGACCTCATGCTCATTTTATCATCCTCCACTGGTGTCCCGCCAGCGTAAACCATTAACGCAGGCGGTAGCACCATTGCATTATCATACATAAAAAAAAACCTTCAAGATGGCTGGAGGAAGGGGATTATTATAAATGAGGACTAATGGCCCCATTCCTAACAATATATCATGTCAGATTGACCTCCTCCACGCGGTTCCCTATGGAAACCATCAATGTAGTTCCTGTTGAATTGACCAAGATGTGCTAACTGACCTGACCACAGGCTTATTATATCATCCTCAATTGTTTCCCCGCTAGCGTAAACCATTAGTGTAGGCGGGTGCTCCATTCCTTTATCATCCATTAAGAAAAAAACCTTCTCGATGGCGGACTACTACAGAATTCTTATTTACTAAATCAAACACAGTGTTTCTTGCTTCTTAGCCTCGCCAGAGTCAGGGTATTTTTAAGCATTTTACAAAAACTCCGGCGGCCTTATAAGCTTAAACAAACCCTAGAAACCCAATGTACGTTATATTTAAGATAACGGTGGTGATTTTTTATTCAATCCATTTCCTAATTTAATCTTTTTATGACTGTATACTCGACCAAGAAATAAAATTGGGTTTCTAGAGTTAAAATTAAAAAAATATTATGTAATATATGAAGATTACACAAAGGATTAATCTTATATAAATTAAAGGATTAAACTTACATATTGTTTTTACTTTTTAAAATAGACTAAAAACAAATAAATTAGAAATGCACTATACTTACACTAGGCGCATAGTTTCCAGATAAGAAATATCTCAATTTAGAAACAGCTTCTTTGTATGCCAATTCTGTATAATCAGGGATCCTTTTTAGCCCATACTCGTTCAATTTCATCGGCCGCCTATACGAAAAGTAAGAATACATTTTTTTTTTCAATAAAAAACTATTTTAATATTTTATCCAATAAATGGAAAGGGAAAGGTACAAGATCACATAGCATTATATAAACTTTTTTAAATTAAATCACATTTTGAATTTGGAACAAAGAAAAAGTTTCAATAAAAAATAAAATATCAAATTTCGAAATTGGAAGTTAGCTTGCGCATTGCGCCAAGAGTTTGTTTGCGTTGTGAGGGTTTTGTTTTAATGACGGTATCCGTAGATGGAGTATTGATTACGTTAAACAAAGTTGCCATGACGACGGTTGTTGACGATAACAAATGCACATCAACCGTAGAGCAGGTAAGTGCAAGCGGGACATAATATATTTATGATTCACCATTTGGGGGATTAGTAATTGGTTTCAGAAATGAATTTCAGAATGTAGGCCACTCGTAATGTAATAGCTTGAAAATGTTAGGCATCGCGTACACGCAACGTATATACGCGAATAAACACAATTTACATTTTGACTCGAAATTATTAAAATAACATATAAATAAACATATATTCACGACTCTTATTCCAGATAGGGTAGTCAGAGGCGTCCGTTACCGACGTCGTGGTTGCACAATTACAATATCCATAGTCAACTGAATAGATATTAGTGATTATTCTATTCTATTCTATTCTATTCTATTCAATCATTCCTATGCTATGTTGTCTGAACGAGCCTTTCAAGTGTTGCGTTTACCACAACATTGACAGTTCACAATACCTTTGACTACCCCTTCTGGGATGAAAGCCGTGATAAAGTTTGTTTGTTTAAAAAATTGAAATTACTACTAAGTACTATAAAAATATTTATTTAGTATATTATTAACGTTGTTTTTTATTGTGTTATTCTGTACCATAACGGCGCCGGTGGAGTTTTGTTTAAGTTCCATCTATACATATAAATAAAATTGGAATATCTGTTTGTAATATTGAAATAACCGTTTTTTACTACATGCGTATGAATATAAATACGGTGGTACATATACCAAAATAACATTTTTTTACAATTTTTGTCTGTCTGTCTGTTTGTTCCGGGTAATCTCTGAAAAAGTTGGACCTATTTTGACGGGACTTTTTTTAGCAGGTAGCTGATGTAATAAGGAGTAACTTAGGCATTTTTATTTGCAAAAAATATTTTATTTTAGAATAATAAAGTTAATTTACTCGCGCACGAAGTCGCGGCAACAGCTAGAACTTTCTATAAAACGAAAATCTTTATTTATACCAATAAAATTTGTGCATCTAAAGAAGAGACATAATGTAACGTTGTGTGTTAAAATGTTTATTCTTAATATTTTTGCAATTTATTTAGGGAAGTTTTAGAAATTTTTGCAATTTGGTTCAAATTGCAAAAACGTCACTGACAGAAGTTACAATATATACTGCTTTATTTACGTTGTTATTGTTATACGCGTTCTTGGAATAAAAAAAATCTTAAACTAAAAAATAACAAAACCTTTATAAAAAAAATTGCCTTAGTTAATCCATAAGTTACGTAACACTCATGTCACGATTTTGTTACAATTCTGAACAAATTTGTTTATTTAGATATAAAATAATAGATGTCACGTAATTTAGAGCCATTGGTTAAACTTTGTCGACCTCTCCCGTATGGCGTATTTTATGAATGGCCCCTTATAGAATTATTATCTCACAAGAACTGTCAAGAATTTGTCGACCGTTTCTTGTTCTTTTATATTGTTAATCCCGTAAACATAAATAACTCGGTACATAAATTTCAAACTAAAACCTTTAGAATACAAACCGAGAGCCTTGAGATAGCCTTGGAATAAAAATTCTGTAAGGGGTCTATAAAGAACCGTTATTAGTTTATTTCTATCTTTACCAAGAAATACACTTTATAAATTAATAATTATTATTTTAAGAAATTTATTACATTAAAAAATCAGTAAAAGAACACAGACCTCATTATTCAAAATAAACCAAATTTTTGAATGATTAAATTTGTTTTCATGAATAGATCATAATTTAAATCAACTTTTTTCCATAAAATATATAAAAATACCTTATCTTAGTCCTTCGTAATTTCCCGTTCATATCCTTATCTGAACAGATACTAGAGCCACTCTTCCCTTTATAACCCGCGGATTTTGACTTTCCCAAGTAATTAGTAGAGCCCATAGTTCAAAACTACCAACTACCAATTACCAACTTTCGAAAAAAATACGAATATTATCTATTGGCAAAATTATGTAATCAAAAATCGTATACAGTGCCACGTAACGTTATGCAATTTGAATTTGATTAATCTATAGACGGAAAATTTCAAATTTAGAATCCATTGCGTCAAGGAAGGCGCGACGTCAGAAATGGAATGAACTTTTTTAACCATTTTCGAATTTCCTGTTTTCCGTTCCTGTCGCTCGTAAATGGAAAATAGATCGCCGCTTTCATTCTAACATAAAAGTTTTCCTCGGGATGAGTTTAGACCAAGAGACAGGGTCATGTGTTTTGTTAATCTCAATGACCTTCCCTAAGTATATACCGCACCGATTTAAATCAGCCCGAAATATTTATATTCAAATCGACTCTGATATTGTATGTATCTCTATTAAACCATTAATCAATCATATTTAGAAACTCCTCTAGTTTATAAATAGAGAGATGTATAGATAGACCTATACATAGTAGAAGAGATTTTATCACGCACCGGGACTATATATTTCATAAATATTTAGAATTAAATACATAATTTTGAAATCATATTATGAATGAGAAACCTATTGCTACAGCACTTATGAAAAAAATACGAGACGCTAGAACTATCTCTTGCAATCTATTCCTCAAAGAAAAAAAATGTTCTATTATCTATTGAATTTAATAATACTTTCTTTTCCACTCGTCTAGATTTCTGAACGAATTTTGTCTTCCACATGAGTTTTTGTCTCCGCGACTACGCGACAGGCAGTGTCTTGCGTGTCATATGTACTACGATAACTTTTTGGAGGGAAAATCCGTCTGCGATCACGCTATGACACCACAAATCATACGATGCCTGCTCGTTTGCATAACTCGATGGGTGAAGCCTTCATTTAATCTATGTACATGTACTGAGTTTATTGTTGACTATCATGGTAGAATTTGCGAATTTTTTTTTTATATCTCAATTATTTACAATATTAGCTGATGATAATATGTCAATCTCAAATAAAATATATAAATAACCCTGGACTAATCATACAACGCCATCTAGTACGCAGAGCTTGTGTTATGGGTACCTACTAGACGACCGATATAAATATTTTGATATTTTTTTGTAAAGAGACATAGAAAACACCCAGAGTGATACAAACAATCAAAATCTTAAATACAAAATTTTGCATCGTGCAAGGATTCGAACCCGCGTATGTCGGAAGGAAGGCGGTATGCTAAATCACTAAACCTTAGAGATTGTCGTTATATATAGGAATATAATTGCAGAAACAGAACCTGCAGTGTCCCATTTAAAACAGTCTCATAAAATTTGTTGCAATCAATAAAAACAGGTCACTACAGTTCAGATATATAACGCTAAATACACCTGAACATATCACCCGATGCCTTCGTGGTGTAAGCCTGTGCCGGGAGCGGAAGGTTAGCGTGTTCGAATACATTACCGAGCGGCGTGCATCCCTGTCGCTGAAATATCATGGAAAATCAATACTGTAATCTAATCTATGTACGGTATTAAAACCATGATTGAAGTTACTAAGCTCAGATCAACAACGCAGTTAAGAGGGAACACTATATTTATATGAAGACACGTAGCTATGTTACAAATAAATACACAGATTCACGCACACATTTGCATCTAAAACTTAGAATAGTTTTAACATGCAATTGTCTATATTCGTCAATATATAATTATTAAAAAAAAATCAAGTCTAGTTTATTTGTCTTAAAAAAAAGCGAAGGTTCTCATTATAACTGTATATTTTAATACAGTTTACATATAGCATTTGTATATTATATACATTCCTTACAAGTTCTAATGTGAATTTTTTTTAAGTTGTTTCATTTTGTCACTTATACGGAACCAGTCTATACCTACATATAAGTTTATTCAAAATCTGACATGTAGGTTTTGTGTTATCCGTAACAATGCGATAGAAATATTTTTTTTGGTATGACATACTTTCAACGATCAGATAAATAATATTTATTTATTGTTAAGGATTACCAACATACAACTAGATACAATAATAAAAATCTGTCGTGATTCTATACAATTCTAATGGTCTTATACTAACTTACTATGAGCGGGAACACAACTACTTAATTTATTAAAAATCAAATACTAGTAAAAATGTGTAGTCTTCCCAAAAGGGCTCACAGCGAGAAGTAACAAAACAATTAGTTAGTCAAAAGTGACATATAAAAAATTGATATCAAATATAGTTTATAAAAAGAATGGTAGACAGCTTGTCTACCAGCCAGTAACACTAACTGTTCTCATATTTATAGGTAACCACAGCGTGCTTTGCCGTACAAGATACAAGATTATATCGCTACTATAATAGATACTATTACACATGTCAATAATATTAAAGTTGAATGCTACTAATAGTAATACAATAAAACATATATACAACACCGTTGTGACGTCACAAGGAACGTCAACTTTTGACCTTATTTATGAATGCTGTTGACGAGAATATCGACTTCCGGATTTTCCTCTGCAAGGAAAACGACCCAAATTAGTTCTGCAAGCGTTACTTATGAATAGGTTGCAAGGAAAATGTGGTATTCTTGTAGGTACATTAAAATCAATTTTATTTAGTAATAATATTGACTACCAAATAAATAAAAGTCGGAAATACGGTCGTTTTTAGCAATAAATTGAAAAAATGAGGACAAATTTTCTAACGCACAGATACAGTGAACGTTGTCCTAAATTCTGTTTTATGCAGTCCTTGATGCCGTGCCACAGATTAAAAAAGTCTATTTATTAAATTCATATATTCACTGAGAAAAGATTGTCAAAATAAAATATGAAGACATGGCTGATGGGCGCAGTTCCAATGCTACGATAATCGGACGCCTCAAAAATTGAGGGAGTCACTTGTGCGTTCCCGAACTAAATAGCTAAGACTGTTTTATACAAATTATAGCATGATTTATTCTTGTTTTACCGCAGAAGAGTTACCTTAGAAGTTGTGAGAAGTAGACAGTAATAAAAGACGCATTTTATTGTAGCTGCATAGCAATTAGATAGATTCCTGGCGAATTTGTCACGTTGGGCTCTCTGACCAGACCTCGTGTTCCGTAAACCGTTAACGCAGTAGGGTCATTCCATTATTATCCATTAAAAAAACATCATACACGGTTTAGGCAAAGTAACACGGACAAAAAATCCAGTCGAAACCGGCATGTATTCGAACAGACATATCACATAAACCTGGATCAATGGGGTGATTTAAGTAGGTTTATAAATATAAAGGCAGTTTATAAAAAAACATTTTTATTATTATTTAAGAATACCTCGTAATATTTGAGGGCGGGTGTAATTAGTACTTATAGGTACATTATATTTAATAAATCACTACATAATCAAAAAAACATTCACAACAGCATTTGAACACTTCGTTCGATTTTGTTAATTGATAATTTTTGGGGCATATATTTTTAATAATATTGAACAGCAATTACATACATTCCAGTACACTACAATAAAAGTAATACAATGCAACGAAGTTACAGTAAAACATAAATTGAAAGAAACTTATTTTACTAACAGTCTCCACGAGTTAAGTGCAGTACTTAGGTACTTCATGTACTTACTAAATGAAAATATGATGTTGAACATATAAATTTCATTGTTAGCAAATCAATTAATATTTTAATACTAAGCATATTAATTAATAAAAATATTTGAAAAATTTGATAAACATCATATTTTCCACGGTACAAGTGTGTTAGTTTAACCTATTAAATAATACTAGATGTTAAATTCATGTTAGACTAAGATTGCTCATTTTTTTGTGTTGTACATCATTAATATAAAAATAGAGAGATCATTAACAATCGGTTTTTAATATGATCTTTCCTTCACACAAAAATAATAAAAGAAAAATAAAAAAATTAAATCATTTGCGTAATAATTAGAATAATACTAATATTAATAAATTATTTGCGAATTTCCGTGATAAATCTATATTATTATTATAATTGAACAACAAAATAAAAATAAACAGCAACATAATACGTAAATGTATTAGTAAAAAACTAATACTAGAACATCCTATTTTTGGTGTTAGTAGCTACATAACAAAACTTATATCGTAAAAAATAAATAATTGAATCGATAGATTTCATTGCACAAAAATATACTTTAGTACCGTACTAATAAAATATAATTTTAACTAACACACCATAATTAATAGATGTCGTTCAATTATTTTTTATTAGTAAGATTGTAAACTTGCTTATAAAATATATTGCAATGGCACTTTTGAATAGAAATAGCAGTATATAGCAAAATAAGCAGTATTCCTTACTGTGTGGCTTATATTTTGTGCAAAGTAACGTATATTTTACAGCCAAAATATCTAATGTTACTATCTTGCACATAATATGGCACAAAATATCAAAGCTCCAAGAGATTTGACAATTTATGAACTTATTTACATTGATTAACAACATCCTTATTTTTATATTAATACTAAAATGGAGATTTAAAAATTGAGTACAAAAACAGACGGAATCATTTAAATGCAGGGACGTACTATCACCTTAAGCTCATTGGAATTTATGGACCACTTGTTTAACCCAACTATTTTTTGTATCACTGTCAGTATTTGTCTCTGTATTTTCACTTAAACATCTATTTATAGGAATGTTTTCTCTTTCTACAGAATTACTTGTTACAGGTTTTGTCTCTGGCATAACATTTTCACTGAAACTTCTTTCATACGTTGCCACTTTTGTATTAATTGATTTAGGTCTTGCTAGCGGTGTAGGTTTCTTTATACTACAACTAGGCTTTACTACTTGGCTCTTTGTCATCTGTTCAATTTCTAAGCGTCTTTGTAAAACAGATTTCGTCATTGTTTTTTGAGGTTCTATAGATGATCTTTTCATATCATTCGCTGTTTTTATTTTTCGTGTTGCTGAATCTAGACTGGCTCTCTCGAAACCCATTCTTTTTAATTGTATACTACCTTGTAATGTTTCCATTTCGTCTTTAATTTCATTCGATTTTTTTTCAATCATAGAATTGTTATCGACTCGTATATTCTGAATATTAACATCTGATTTATTGTTTACGATTGTTGCAGATTCAACAATAGTTTGTTTGAAATTTGAATATTGTGTGTTTGTTTTTATATTAACTGAGTCAAAAGTGGACGAAGTCTCTTCAGGGTTTAATAAACTATTATTTCTGTTGAATACCAAGCTTTTTGGCACATTATTAGGTGATTGGATATTAGCTATTTTAGGTTTTACTGGAACGGGTGGTGCAACTTTAGGTTTAGGTCTTTCCGTATTTTGATCTTTTTTGATTGAAAAACTTTCCACATTTTGGGTCTTAGTTGATTTCACCAAAACTCGGGCATGCAAACTACTTGATTTTTGATTTGTAGTCGTTATAGTCGATTTAAATGATGACGTGTGTTTTATGTTCTCTATTTTCGTATTTGTCTTATTTACAATTCTATCAGGACTTAGAACTATTTTAATATCTTCTACTTCTTCTTGATCAGAATAAACAGCTGAATCTCTAAACATATCTTCATCAGTTACTTGCTCAATTTTTTCAAACGATTTTTCGTAAAAACTGTCGCCAAAATTTTCTTGCTTGTTTTTCTCGTCATCATTCTCATTAACACATGTTTTTATCTGAGGTTCTTGATAAACTCCTTCACTAGATGACGTTACAAATGATGAATTTGAGAATAAGCTATCTGGTCTAAGTGCATTTTTGTTAATAAGAACATTTACATTTTTAAAAGCAGTTTTTTCATTTGTCAGTGTAGTAGGATCAAGGTAATCTGACTGAGCTATTCTGGCGCCTAAGTGTTTACTTCCTTGCATATACATTGGTAATTTATTTGAAGAATTACTTGGTTTAGATTGAGTAGAAAGGCCATTGATGACATTTGAAACATTATTTATCAAGCTAACACTTTTCTCATATACAGGCCGTATTTTGTCATTTTTTTGTCGAATATTTTCGCAACTATACGATAAAATATCTAAATTATTTTTTTCTTGTTGGCTTTCGGTTAAAGTAGAATCTTCACAAACACTTTTACTAAGTAAATCGTTGTTAGATACATCCGAAACTATAGAAACTGTTGGACTACCATCTGTTGTTGTAGTTATTACAACTTTGATGTCATTTTTTGCTACATTATTTTGTGAATCTTCGGCGGGTATTTGAACTTTCAATGACTCAGATTTATTCTGATTATCATCTGGATGTTCATCCCCAATAATGTTTCTAAATCTTTGCAATAAGTTTTTAGAATAGTTTCTAGGATTAAGTGCAGATTTTTTCTCATTCGATGGACTTTTGACATCAGATTTTGTATTATCGGGATTATTATGATCATTTGCATTTTCTGCATCATCAATGCTTTTACGACTTTTAAAACGACTTAAAACATTTTTAAGTGATAATATGTTACTATTAGGTTTGTATATTTTATGTTCCGGATGTATTATTTCTATATCCGTAGGATTAACATTGCTATGATCAGTAGGTAAAATTTCACAAGAAGATGTATTTGAAATGTTTAAATTAGGTTGTGACACTGTCAAGAGATTTTCATTCTTGTTCTTATCTAGATTAATTTCTTCAAAATTATTTTTATAGCATCTATCGATTTCTTCTTCCAATTCCAAAGTTGATTGACTTATATTTTGTACATGCTCCGTATGGTGAGGCTTTGTATTTTTGTTAAATTTAAGTATATCTCCTTCGCTCATGTAATTCTCAACATCATCATAACTAATTTCACTTTTATCTGACGCTATAGTAAATGGTCTATCTGTGCTCATTACTTTCCCGTCTCTATTTAAATATGTTTTACTGTTATTATTAGGTTTTCCTTTAAATGTACTCATATTATTCTCATCCTCTTGATTGTTTGTGATTATTTGAAAACTTCTCGGTAATGAGCCAGATTTTCTATCTCTAGAAATATTAAAATGTTCTTTTTGTCGGCTAACCCAAATTTCTGGATTATTCGGACTCTGTTGACTTGCACTCATCGGTAAATAGTCATCAAGTTGTTTATTTGGAGTTTCTCGTCGTCTACAAACTTCCTGAAGACTATCATAAAGATTATCCGTATTAGTTGTAGGTGGTCCTTTATTTTCCATGAGCTCATAGTAACTCGAGTTTACAGAGTTATCTATTTTAACTGGCGACACTGGAATGTCATATATGGATTCTTCATCTCTTGATTTATTAAGTTGATTAAATGTCAAATACACATAATCCGATTCTGGACCAGCAATTTTGGAAACTTGTTCTACGTTTGGAGGCGATGGTAACCTCCTTGGTCTAGATACATGTGTATGATGTTGAATCGTTTTACTCTTATTATTCAATGTATGCAAATTTTCTAATTCTTTACTTTCACACCTCAAAGTTTCATATATATGATCTGCATCTTCATCAGACATGTTATTTCTTTCAACTTGAGTATCACTCACACATATACTCTCATCTTGTTCATCTTTTTTATTTAAATCTAAATTTTCCGAGGTCTGACGATTATATTTTGGCTTCAATTTAAGAGAATCGCATGTACTTTGTATAATTACTTGTTCGGGATTGGAATGCGATTTTAATAACCTCTGGTGTCTTCTGTGTGCACTATTTCTCTGTTGTTTTTTTAATAATTTCTGAAATTCCCTATTTTCCATTAATAATTGTGATATTATTTGTTCTAAAGGTTTTTCTTCGTCACAAATTTCTTCAGTTTCTGGAGGATTACTCTCACACAATTTCTCTTCTGTCTCTGTACCTTCGGTGATAACTTTTTGTTTATTTAAGTACTTAACTTTTTCTAGTTCATTCTTCTTGAAGGAATCAGTTTTTTCTATTAATTTTTTATAAGTTTCTTCATCAATATCGTCATCTTTACTGATCGTGTCTGTGGTACATGTATTTTGTGATGTAGCTTTAATTTTATCGATGTTAAGACTATCATTGGATTCTGATATATGTAAAATATTTTCAGTTGATACATCTGTAGAGAAATCAGCATAAAATTTTGCAGTAGTGTCAGAACCCAGACGCTTTGCTCTATTTTTCTTTAGCTTCGAGATTTTCTTTGGTATATTTTTTGTGTTGTACATTCTTATTTCTATATTCGTTTTATGATCTCTCTTTATAATGTCCACTTCTGGATCAGAACTGGGCAATCCGTATTTTGTTTTTCTGCTTATTTTATTAGAGCCACAATTTCTACACTCAAATTCTATTTTTTCACAACCTCGTTCATCATTTTTTTCACTATCACTAAATTGAGATCTTTTTGTCGCAATACAAGAGTTCTGGGGTAGTCCTGGTTCAGATTTCCTTCTCCAATTGCTTATTTTAGATAACTTTGACCTTTGAGGATCATCTTTTGATTTAGATCTTGTTATATCTGGTTTATGTTTACTATTTTCACTACATCTAGACCTTCTAGAATGCATTGTACTTATAGAATCTGTTACGACAATATTTTCTTTTATCTTAGCGCATTTCAAACATGTTTTCGTAATATTTCTGACATTTACCATAGAGTTATTAGTATCACTTAAATCTTCTTTACTTTTGGAACTATCCGTGTAGCCAACAATATTATCTGACGAATGATATCCTCTAGTCTTTGTTAATGAACCAGGAAACTCTTTACCAAAACTTTCCTGCGATGATTTGAAATCAGAGCATTTGCATCCAGATTGTTTTCTTTCAAGCTGTTCAACGCTACCAGAGTCAATGTAATGAAGTGCCCTATCACATTCAGGACACTTTTCTGCAAATATACCATTATTTCTGCAGCAACATTTATCATTATTAATTTTATCTTTAGATACTTCTCCGTCACAGTCTGAACAGAGATCTACATAACAGTTCTCACAAGTATAATCTGTGCCCTTTTCAGCTGAAAACTGAGCACAATCACAATTACGTCTAGTTTCAGACCTAGAATTCGGTATAGTATATTTTCGATTAGCTTTCTTAGATGGAACTCGTAACCCGTTTCCTAAAACTACTGTTCTTCGTCTATCCCTTTCCAATTTCCTTTTCTCAAGATACTCCGGCGCAGACAGCTGTTTTCTCATCGATGCTTGTGTGATGAGACCATGTGATTTTTCAGCTATCATATCATCTGTAATTTGAAACATTATAGGTGTTAATTATTAACAACTTATTTGTAGCTTATATGTATTAAGATAAATCAAATATACTATAATATTCTCATAACTGAGTCTTGCTTTTTGCACTTAGCAAGCATTCGGCATTACTTTGCTTATTTTACATTGTAAGCGTTACAAAAAAATCTATTAAGGGTCTATTAACGTCAATCAATCAATCACGTTAATATTATCAAATCATTGGCATTTAATATTAGTCATTATGAATAAATATTGTACTTACCATCTGTTTTGTTTTGACCAAGCTCCATTACCAACTGCCTTGCGTGCGATGGTATCACAGCATTGTAGTTCTCCAGTATTACCTGGAATTCAATATTTTAAATTATAAACATGTAGGTATTCATTCATCATAACGCTTTAGGAAAATGTCGAGAGAAGAATTTATTTTGACGGACAAACTGATATTTTACTTAACTTTAATATATAATTACGCTAACTTCTTACAGTTCTTCTTTTGTTAACTGCGATTAATTTGTTGCTTATAGTCATCGGAAATTACTCATTAACATTTGCCTAAAGGGTGCGAGTATGTTTTTATAATTGGTGGATCTTAACTAATTATTTCCTGCGACATATTGGTAAGTCTATCATAAGTTTTCATTTCATATATTCCTTCCCTTAGTACTGGTATATTATGAGTTCACCAATCAGTTGAGCTATCATCAGCTTGTTTCCATTTCAGATTCAGTACATGAAGCTTCTTTTCTCGATGTTTCATTGTTTACTGTTCGGCTTTACAGCATTAAAGCGCTTAATTCTCATAATAAGTTATCACAAGTAAATATAGTCTGCTTCTTTTCTCAACGTTTCATTGTTTATACTGTTTGGCATTACAGCACTGAAGCGCTTAATTTGGGTCAAATTAGCAGAATTAAATGTAGTCTTTAAAGAAAGGGAAGAATGCTCACCCGCTTGATGAGTAGCGTCCATTCGCGCTTGTGGCGGGCGGACCTCGCCTGTAATGTGACCTGAGCACGCGGTGCATCCCACGGTATCACGTGGAAGGAGAGTGGAGCACCCGCTATAGCTTCTACGAGCATCATGTTGTTACACTGAAATACAATTATTATTATTAGAATGAGAGACTGTAATTGGTGATCAGCGTCTATCATCTATATAGATAGCTGTTACTACTTTCAATATGGTAGACCTTTTAGAATAAATTGATTTATTGATTTTATTGACACCTATCCTTTTCTTACCCTTACTCTCTTTATCCACCCAAAAGTGAAAAAAGATTATTGAGCGACAAGACCTTTTGTATCAATTAATGTATATTTATACTTTTAATTTATTGTTCTATATTTGGTGCAATAATATAAATAAATAAATAGAGTATATTCAATTAGTAGAAAGTGAAAATATTGAACTATATTACCATTATATGCGTTTTGTACGCTAGGATGCCGTCTTCTCTGTTCTTGGTGATAAGGAGCATCTTGTCGAAGAGGAAGACGTGACGCATGGCCTTCGCGCCGAATACTCTGTTATAGTATAACAACACACCTAATTATTCTTTGAATACCAACATTTAAAATAGAATAGGTATAAAGTAAAAGGAGACAGTCTCAAATATATTTTGTGTTATATGTTTTCAGTATTCCGTTTCTTTACGGAATTGATTAGTATTATTTTTTAATTCCGCAACAATAAAGCTCAGACCATCTTAGATATAGATTAGAAGCCTAGTGTTGACTGTTCCGCGAACAAGTTACCGGACTGTATATGAAGTAGAAATGTAATACCCGGAATAAAATCAATTTCAATCACATTATGAACTGAAAATCTATTGGTCGCATTTCGATTAAATTGATTGAGAACCACAATCAGATTCTCCAAATTTAAAATAAAAAATAATGAAAACTATCAGTTTTGATAAAAGGAAAATTTTTCTGCCGTAACATAAAAATAATAATATCGTAAATGTCTTCCTTTTCTGAAGTTGGTTTAAAGTGATATCAGACAACTTGTATACCTGAATGTCCCTTCGGCACACAGCTCTCCATAAGTAGTCAAGTCCGGGCCGCTCCAGCCGTACAGCAGCGACTGAATCTCCTGAAATTAAACAACATTATATGTTAATCTTATATGTTATATGTATCTTTCACTCACATAAATCTTACATATCTATACAACTTAGACTTAACTCCAGTCCACGTTACGACTCCGCGTAGAGAAATGAAATGAAATGAAATGAAATGAAATTTATTTGTTATAAAAGTAGTACATAATAGATGGTATGGTTATTTATGTTATATAGCTCTCACTTTTAGTCTTTACAGACATGCAAATACATATTTGAATTAATCTATTATTATTCTTTACACAATTCAATTAAATTACATCTTATACATTTATTATTATTATGAAAGTAATAAAATAATTTTTATAAAACTGTTATATATTTATTAGGAATGTTAAAGTTATGTCAAGTTCGAATTGTCAATATATTATGTTTTCTAATAATTAGTTAACATCGTTTATATAATCATTAACTGTGTAATAACATTTGTCAACTAATAAATTAAATAATTGTATTTTAAATTGTGTCGATGGCAATTCCTTTAAAGGGGTCGGTAATTTGTTGTATATCCGGATAGCCATTGGATAACAACTTCTTTTATATAGGTCTGTTAACATTATAGGCAATATTAGCTTATTTGGATATCTTCCACGATAATTGTCAACATTATTACAATACTTTTCAAATAAATAAGTATGTGTTTTCACAAAGTTACATGTTTCATAAATATATAAGCAAGGTAGGGTTAGCAGTTTCAGCTTTTTAAAATACGGTACACAGCTAGTTCTGGGTGTGAGTTTGTTTATAGCACGAATACATTGCTTCTGTGCTATAAATGCTCTTTCCAGTTCTGTTGAATTTCCCCATACTAAAATGCCGTATCTAAGATTGGAAGCAACATATCCATGATACGCCAATAAAGCGGTTCTTTCATCAGCTATATTTACAAGACGCCATAAGACATAGGAAAAACTATTAATTTTACTGTTTAGATTTTTTATGTGTGGTTTCCACGTACAGTGATTATCCAACATGATTCCTAGAAATTTCACGAATTCAGAGTGTACGCGATACTAATAAGCCATGTAGCACACTATCAAATAAACTTACTAATGTAATTAAATGAACTTACTAATGTAGTTCAATTATTACACATGTAGATACATATACTAACCACCTATTATATATACTACAATAAACAATCAATTGAATAGCGACACCTCACATATTAACCTTAAGTAACATGTATTGGTGGTTGTGGTGAGTGGTGAGGTTATAACCATCGCCTTACAACATAAATTATGCAATGCTGTTGGGAGAAAAAATTGCTTACCTGCACACGCACGGCGTGTTCATGCCGCCGCTTCATATCATCAATGTGCTGAGCTATTCCCGTCATCTTCAGCAGCGCGTACTCCGTCTCCCGGGTCGTACACTGTTTCACCAGATTCTGGAATCAACCAGTTTATATTTTAATTTCAAGTCCAGTCCGTCTTCACCATAAATCCATAAAATTCTGGCCTAGGTAATACTTTCTAAAAAGTCACCATGTAAGTATCTTTTTACAAAGTCTAAGGTTACGGCTCAGTCTCAATTTTTTAGCCACCAAGCAGCTTGCTTTGTAAGTTGCGTTTACTTTGAAATAAGCTGTCGGTTACGGCTGAAGGAAAATATTAAATTTAAATTAATTCTGTTTTTGATAGCAGACAGTCATTTGATATTTCTTAAAAATGATATAATTTTTTTTGTAAATGGAACGTTGAAAATAGGTCGATGATACTGATTTTTTCTCTTTGTAATGTTATATAAATTCTTCTCTAATAACAAATTCTAGACAAATAAAATTACAATGCAGTTAATACAAAATTCACCTGGTGATCTAATCTTCTTTGCATAGTATAAAACAAGATACCGCCTAGACCTACAATGAGAATGAAAGGCAGTTTTATATATTCTTTTATCCATATTTAAAATATGAGTGTTTTATACATACAATTTGTTTCATAACACTGCGCTCTACTATAATAAACGTCTCTACAAGCATCTATCTTATTTTCATTTCTTATTACTGATTTTAATGCGATTTTCAGTAACAGGTAGAATATCTATTAGTACATAAAATTCAAGAAATTCAAAGATTTGTAATGCACCCGTGCGATACCGGAGCGGGTGCTAGTATATATAAAAAAGTTACTTCGATCTTAACAATATTAGTGTGTTCACAACACGAACGATTACGGTGCCGTTCCAAACCGGTAGGAACCGTTAAACGTCTAATTAGTTTCTAATCACCCGACTAAATATTGGACGACTTCTGTTGACAAGACTCAGTATCTCTTAACTAGTTATTAAAGGGCGTTACCGCTACCATCATCAGCTCAGTGACATGAGATAATGACTTCCAAACACCTGAATGACTAGTACTACTAAGTATTACTGCTAGTACCAACCATCAGCTCAAACAGTCCCTTTGAAATTTAACAGCTGGCCTTAACAGTTTCACTGGACAATAGGGCGCGAATGCAAATGGCACTCCAAACCAGCGAAAGGACTTATGGACTGGCTAAAGACGAACTCCTGCCTAACGGATACGATTTGCCTTCAGCTGGTCCATAATTGCTTTCTTAGATTTGGAGTGCCGTCTGCACTCACCTAATAAGCTGTATATTGGTTGCAGGGTGAGAAAAGGCAGTAACATTATAGGATAAGAGGCATGACATCTTAGTTTTGAGAAATGGCTGCGAATGAGTGGTACCATGAACCTCGCTTGATGATTTACCATCAAATGGACCGATAAATCACCCTTGCAGTTGTATAAAAAACCACATTAGAAATCTTAGGAACTAATGGTTTATACATAGTACATTATACAGTTAATCTGCATTTTATTCTTCGAAACAATTTACAATAATATCACAAAACAAACCTGCAGCAGTAAATGGTACTTCAATATCCTCTGGACAGGCTTTAGTAAGTACGACGCGAGTGGTAGAGGATGACACAACGCTATCTGTCTCTCTCTAAACTCTCTTGCACTGTCAGGCTCCGATGCAAGAGCTGCTAGCCTCTTCATCGTCATAGGATATCCAGTACAGTACGAGGCGTACACGGAGAATCCAGTGGTATTGTTGACGAAGCAGCGAGCGATGCACGTGGCATCTAGTTGACAGCTGTTCAGCTCTTTACAGAGAGATCTGGAAATAATAAAACAAAAATAACAATAAAATGTCAATACCAGGCGCCTTTTGTAAAACATTTTCATTGTACTTTATTGTTCTTTGTTTATCTGTACGCAAGAAAAAGTTGTTATTTACATTATTATTTTTTTTCTCTTAATTGAATATTATTGTAAATCTATTATAATGTATACTGCTTGTAAAAGAACCATTATGTTTGTACTGAAAATACAAATAAAATTCTTGTCTATCTAAATTTTAAGTGATCATTATATACACATAATTTTACATACTATATAACAAATTCGCCGCCGCTGTCTGTCTGCTTATATCTTTTAAATTATGCGACAGATTTTCATGCAGTTTTTGTAAATAGATAGAGTGATTTAAGAGGAAGATTTATATGTATAATACATGCTATAATATAGTTGAATTTTAATTTTTTCGATGAAAATTTAAAGATCTGTAATGATCCGTGCGAAGCCGGGACGGGTTACTGGAATTTAATAAATAAATAATTTATTTTCATATAACAAAACGAAAAATATTGAAAACGCGAACAGATTATTTTGTCAAACAACAAAGAACTTCCCAATGAATTTTTTATTTATTTTTGTGTGTTACCTCAAAACTTTTTTCTAAGTTAACTGATTTTAGTTATTCTTTTTTTATTTGAAAGAGTTCTGTGTGATCCTGTATAAATATGATCAAGATATGACTAGAAGTTTTGAATCCCTAAGAATGCGATTGCAGTCGGTATTTTCATAAATAATGTTTGTTCTCGAAAAACCAATAAAATTTACTCTCGAACACTTCAGCCGTCCAGACAGAATATAAGTTAACGACTAAAATAAGTAAAACATATATTTTTAGCGAGTTTACGATCGTCTACGAGTTCAAGTAATGTCAGAAATACGTGACCACTCAAAAGAGAACTTAAATTGTTACGTCGGTTTTTTCATTACCATTGTTTCGAAATGTTATGGGTTTCATTTTTGTTGTTTATGGGTTATAAAATACAGTACCTACTGCTTATATATGAGCTTCCTTAATTAGAATAAATAATAAACATCATAGTAGCAACAACGCAAGATAATTTATTTATTTATTAAAACTTTAATGCAAAAACAAAAAAGCGTAAACAAATAAAAATAAAGGTGCGTATGGCGGACTTAACACCATAAGGTATTTTCTCCCATAGGGCAAACAGAGATTACTGGGCGGTGCGTTTAAGTAAATAACATAAAATAAAAATAATAAAAGGAAGTAGGTACAAATATAACAACATTCATAAATATTTTGATCAACTAAAATAAAATAAAATACACATAAAATATTTATTTATTTTAGTACCCTTTACTCGTAGTTATTACAAAATAAATTTTACAAAATAAGTTTTATAAAAAAAAAATTGAAAATCAATTATAATAATGAAAAATAATAAACATTAATAAATTGTTTAATGAAATGTTAATGAAAAAAATATGCCTAAAATAAATTCCTCACTACTAAATTGACTCAAAATTAGTAAAGTTGTTCCACTTCATAAAAACTGTTCTATGTTACGTATATAAATAAAATATACACTCAAATTAAAGAAACTCCTTTTCATTATTGTAACAAAGCTGAATAAATAAACTAAACAAAGATAGTACAAAAGTTGGGCTCGTCCGGGATTTGAACCCGGGACCTCTCGCACCCAAAGCGAGAATCATACCCCTAGACCAACGAGCCACGAAGTGAAATGTCGAATATTAACATCATACTAGCTCTATACAGACGGCGCGTAATTGCGTCATCATGACGATTAAAAACACAGCCTACTGCCGCGTACACATCACGCTGATTCTACCATATGTTAATCCAACGTAGCGAGGAGTGAACCTATTTTGCTATCTTGATTTATTCGGTATGTTAACGGTGTTTCCATTAACGAAGAGTCAGTTAGAAATATGTCGTATAAATTCGATTATATAACTATAACGAGATGTACTAAACAACTATACAACGCCTTTTAAGATGTTCTAGTGTAACAATGACCATATTTGAAGACTATATTTGCTAGCTAAGAAGGGTAGACTACAAAACATATATACAACTCGCATCTTTATATTAAACACTATCTCTATCATCCACCAGTACAAAAATGATTTTAATAAATCCTCTACACCTAACGACTGTTTCGAGGAAACATAAAAGCGATGCTATTTAGCCCTTAAATGCCCGTACGGCATAATAACGTAATAATGTAAAGTATCTCTATATTTTCTATACACAAACAGCGATCAGTTACATCTATATCATTATCATTACATAGAATAAAACAAAGTCGGTGTCGCTGTCTGTTAGCGCATAGGGACGCTATGTATGCTTCAATCTTTAAAACTACGCAACGAATTTTGAATAGAGTTTTTTTAAATAAAGTGATTCAAGAGGAAATTTATATATATATTATATATAATACATGTACGAAGTCAGGGCGAGTAGCTAGTAATTAAATAAAGTTTAAGTGTCTGTTTGTGATTTAAAATTAGCAGCTTTTCATTAAAAGAAATGAATCAATTAATATTATAACTGAAACGGCAACTGATCAAAACATATAAAATATTTTATCCTCAAATTGTCATTTTAATATACCATTGCGTCATCAACAAGAATCCAGGCCAATCGCGTAACATTCGCCAATTGGTTAATCAGCATCTCTCCAAAGTATTATGTGTTTTGCAATGATAACAACCACTTCATTAGTTTCTTGCTTAATTTACTGTTACCAGAGATGTGATAGTGACAGTATACTTTACATTTAATAATTTACTTCAGCTCCATCAATAGAGCACACTGAGGAAAGAGTCTCATTTATTTCAGCCGAGAGAGCAGATTTGTAAGTTGTTTTGATTGCAGAATATACATTAGCCAGTAAATAATTACAGGATAAGGATTCAAGGATTGTAACAGAAATGTAATAATGACAGTTTACTAGCATTTCACGATTTGCTTTAGCTCCATCGATAGATATACACTTGTAGGAATCTTACCTATTTCTGCCGTCAAATTGCTTTGTAAGCTGTGTTTTGATTGTAGAGTGTCAGCCAGAGAAAGTACAGGATTAGAGATAGGACATCTTATTTCTCTGGACTGGTAACGCATGAGTGGTATCAAGACCGTCACATTGTAACGTGATATACTTAATAATATTTATGTATCTATATAAGGTAAGTTTACTAATTGTCTTCTTAATTGTCTGCTCTCAGACACACCAGTGTTCTCACTCACCGTTCAAACTTAATGGACATATGACGCCAGCAGTGTGCGCTAGAGACGACGTAATGCTTCCTTCTCTTTCAAACATATACTACAGTTACAGATACCATCATGTAGGCTATCCTTGTTTATTACTTAAATTATATAAAAAAGGTAGATTTGTACAAAGTCGTCTGCGTGGACACCTCTTTCAGCCGCCAAGAATCTGACTTTGTAAGAGTAATAATAATAATAATATCTCAGGACAATTCACACAGCGCTATCCAGTCCCAAGGTAAGCAGAGTTTGGGTTATGGATAATAGATAGACAATTCATATAAATACATAGATAGGTATCAGTGGATAGAGAAGATAAATTTCTATTATTTTATCTAAAAAAACAGACTAAGTCACAGGTACAGCTAGTACTATCTAAACAAGAAGTATATTCAGTTCTGTTGAAAGTGAGTAAAATTACAAAGTCATATCTATAATAATTTGAAATTTAAACCTTTTATTTTTATGCGTTTTTACCTACCACATCGCTAGCTTCTCGTAAGTAATTCAATACCTATAAGAATCTCCATGTGAACAGAGATCGGACCCCACAGGATTTCAAAATAAGTGGAACTACTTATACAATACAATAGTTAACTATATGTAACACATTTATAGGTATAGATGCCATCTTTTATAAGTCCACCCTCTCAGTTTGACAGCCCCTAGCTATTATTTTAACACCCTCTGTTACTAGCATTTCGGGTGGATGACGGACATTTTTACTGTAGGTTGAATCCTAAAAAGCAAAGTGTGGTTATATTCTTTACTACCAATCCGATCCGGCTTCGCATGAGTGCAATTTCTATAGAGATTTTTTTTTAAATAAATATCATTGTTAGGTGTCAATTATATGTGGGCGAGTAGATTTTTTCTTTTTTTCTTATGGATGATAATGGAATGGTGCATCCGATTGCGCTGACGGTTTACACTGGCGAGGCATCAGTGGAGGATGATAATATGAGCAAAAGGTCAGGTCAGTTAGCCCATTATCGTAAATTTACCTTGAATTAACACGATGTTTTCCAGGAAAACCCACTTGGAGGTCAATCTGATATGGCACAACGCTAGCAATGAGGTTATTAGTCCACATTACAAATAATCCCCTTCCCCCGGGCGAAGAGATTGTTAGTAATGGAAAATATTGCAGATGCTAACAATGTTTGTCATGTAACTTCCACGCGGATCACCCTGATGATAACCATCATGGTAAATACCTAGTGAATTCGTCACTATGCGCTAACTGACCTGACTTCATGCTTATCATATCACCTTACACTGGTGATCGACCATGAAGGAATCAATGGAAGAAAATAACATTGTACCGCGACCCCAAATAGATGCGATAAGGAATAATATCATAATGATTTGACTTACCGATTAAATTCATATATATCTTCTATGTTATTGAAAAGCTCGGTTAACTTGTCTTCTGAAAATGTGGACCCCCGCCGCCACACGTGGAGATAGCCCTGAAACAAACGATAAACATAACCTTATAATTATAATATTTTACAACCGACTCCATATACAAGTACTACTTGTAACTGTAACTGGACTCAGTTTTAGAATACATCCGCCTGTATATATCGTTGCAGGTTTTGAACTGAAATGAATTTATTGCAATCTGGATTCTAAGCAGTTGCATTAGAAGTCACTCTTTATACCAAATATAAAATTATTTACAATACCTTAAATTATAGAATCCTAACGACCAGTCCCGACTTTGCATGAGTATTTCAATTAATTTACACAGAACCTAAACGAATTAAATATCTAAACCATTCTGAGAAACTACTCTGTTGCTGGATTAAAACGGGATAACATTCAGTAGTTTTTTGAGATTATAGCGTAAATAAGATATAAACATAGTCAAGAAAACTGTAAACGACACCACAGCGTCTCCCTAAGGACGATGGCAAAATCGCCTACCTCATTTTGTGGAAGCCATACAAATAAAAGATGTGGAAAGAATTGGTTTTGGCCTGATCCTCGTGTTTTCTAAAGTGCAATATACAGTAGCAACTAGTAACATATGGTACAGTCACCATTCCCACCTGGAATATTTACTGTTAAACCACAAGAATCACTTAGCACGTGAACTTACAATGGACAATTTATCTCGACCCACTTTATAATAGTAAACACGGAAACCAGAAAGACTAAAATTACTTGGAATTTTGCAAATACTTTCTGTCTTCAGTGCGAGCCTCTAATACATGACGTTGGAGTAAATGATCGTAGAAATAACGGCTTATTGCTATAGAAGAAAGGAGAAGAAGAAACCACAATTCTAGTGTAAATAGCAATAACATTTCAAAAAAATGTGTAACACCAAGATTAATTTGCACTGGTTGAGTAACCATTTAAAAGAATGTATATGTAAGTAATATACTAGTTCACTATATTTATCACAATCATAGTACTAACTCGCTACCAGAACGCTTTCTAAATAATTAATGAAAATAATAAAATAATTAGGTAATTAGTTTGGAACGGCAGGAATAGTGACAAAAAAATATAACTCACATAATAGAGGTTGAGGAGGACGAATAAATATTGATTTACTTAGACTAGAAAATAGATATAGTATACATCCATTGACACGTCCAACTTTTAATCTCAATTAGAGAGTAGACTCTTTTTGTGTCGGCGGTTAAAAATATACACAATACTAACATTTTATTCTACAATAACAATTTCTTTCCCTTTCACATCAAATAATAATAATAATAAACCTGGACAATGCACACAGCACCATCCAGTCAAGACACAGACTAACAGTAAACAGAGTTTGTATTGTAAGTACTGGACAATTCATAGAATACTTAAATGTATGTTTTGTAAATATACACGTCGTGTACATAGAAAACAAACAATCAAATCATGAATAGTAATGTTTGTGAGGAATCGAACCCGCGACCATCAGAAGTAAAGCCAAAGTATGCCAAACCGCTAGACCACCGAGTTAAGTAAAGATTGCGTCACATACCGTTTAATAATATCAACACAAGAAACAATTCAATTCCGTCTGATACATTTACAGATTGACACGGATCCATCGATCCGTTAGGTATCGAGAGCCATAATCGATCGAATAGTTTCGAGAATCGAGTCGCCACTCGCATAACTCGGATAAACTCGTTATAATTTGAAAAAAAATATAACTTTACACCGAGGTACTACTTACCCCTGCCTGTCGAAAGGCAGGAGTTTACCTTGGTCGCTCAATAAGTTCTTCCGCAGGTTTGGAGTACTATCTTCACTCGCCCTATCGTTCGGTTAACATATAAAGGCCAGCTGCGGCCAACAGCACTAGAATATTTGAAAAAAGCCTGGTAACAACTAGTCGCTGTATAGTAGGAAATACTTAGCATTTGTAAATTATCGTATTCCTGTACAATAGCATAAATATTAAACCAACGTCATAAACCAGTTAGGACAAAGTGGATCTCCATCCGTTCCACATTCGCTAAATTTAGAGCTAATGTCCAATGTGTTTTAGTGGGCAAATTAGATATCTCGGATGTAGGTAGTGCTTGTATATGTACTACTCACTAGTAGGGCTGTCTACTAATCTTAAGTCTATAATAAGAAACTAAAGATATTTTAAAGCATACAGTGTTTATTTCTCTGTTGGATACTTTTGCATTATTAACGTACCACTAATTTTTATTGTTATTTCTTTACATAATATTCTCTGTATCATTAAATATAGTAGCCGTATCCTTCTTCTAATGTACCTACATACAAATTTTAGTATGTAAGATCTAGTGGGGGGATCTGGTGACCCGTGATACAGGTTCTTCGGATACCTAGTACAGGCACCAGTTCTCCACAAATCTGTATTTTTGCACAGAATGATATATATATATATGTTATTATTATTATTTTAGATCTATTAATTAACTTATATATTATGAATCACCGTAGCCGCTGCATCGATTATGATGAATACTGATACAGAGAGAAGAAAAGGGGATTGTTAATAGTGTAAACCCATCTATCACCGTGATATAACCCCATCCATTACTAGCTATGTACCTAGTCAGGTGCACAAGGTTCCCCCTCAAAACCATCGTGATAAATTCACCATGAATTTATAACTAACTAACTGACCTGACCTGATACTCATCATCCTCCACTGGTATCCCGCCAGCGTAAACCGTTAGCGCGGGTGCACCATTCCATTATCATCCATAACAAATAAAACATTGGTACAGAAATAGATAGGAACCTAACCTATACACGGACCTCTTTCTCTCACGGAAATTATGTAGGTAGATTTTTTTTACAAAATTTTTAATTTATTTTTATTTGTATTTTTAATACTCGGCAAAACAAGATTTGTCGGCTATTATTATTATCAGTTACTCAATTCCTAAACAAACACAGCCCTAGTGTGTACACGTAGCACGTTCGTGGTAGAAAGCCGTCGAGATAAAAGTGATAAGTAGATCACGAATTATTCGCCACATTTAGAAAAGCTAGTGTAGGCCGTAATTTAGTGCTGGAGTTCCTTTCAAATGGACCACACGCAACTACGTCTATTATGGGCAAATACGATATGCGTGACTAGTGTTCAGCTTATCAGGTAGCATAAATTTTATCACTGTCCTATAATTGTTTATGTTCATTAAAAAAACACACAGACCGATACAAACAATCATACTCATGAATACAAATGTTTGCACCGTGCGAGGAATTGTACCCGCGACCACCACAAGTAAAGTGGTGTGCTTAACCGCTAGTAGTAACCGTCATGTATATTTAAATGTATTCCTATTATACAATTAAAAGTAAAAATATAATCAAAAGCATTCACACAGTTTCAGAAAGTATTTCCAAGTCAAAACAAGTGGGCGACAGGGGTTCATCTCTCCGATGTGTATGTTTAACAGAAATGTTAATAAATCAAACAAGAGTGGCAGTATCTAAAACATCTTGTAATATAATATACATTACATTACATTGTGTAACAGAACACGGGACAGTCTGCAGTGATATTAAATTTATATTATGAATGAATACTACCATGCCTCCTTCAGTAGCACCACTAAAATTATAACAACCAAGTGAAGACTAAAATTTCCATAATTTCCGCCAGACAAAAGAATTTAACAATATTTTCCTAGTAAAAGACTTCTAGAAAGATAAAAACCGAATTCGAAAACAGGCTGACATTTGACTCATGAACATGAGTCAAATAAATCGAAGTCAATACAAGTAGAAAATAAGTACTTAAATATTTCTATCACTTGCTTGATACCTATAATAGTCAAGCAGAGACTTTTTGGACTGGATGACGCTGTGTGATTTGAGTTATAATGTAACTCAACACTAACTTAATAATATTAACGCAAGACAATTTATACTGTGCCATCTAGTATTAATATTAGCAAAGCTTGTACTAAGGTACTAAATAACTGATAAAATACATATTTTTTGTAAAGACATACATATTATATTTAGAAAATACCCAGATCATGCAAACATATTAAACATGGATACAATAGTTTGCATCGTGCGGAAATCGAAACCAATGTAAAATATGTACTGAATATATACATTTATCTATTTATTTGCTTTCTTGACCTCTAAAATTTGTACAAAAGGTGGACTTAATGCTATAGCATTATCTCCCAGTCCACCTTTGGGATGTGCAGAGATACATGAATGCGGCAAAAAGAATTATAATAACAAAATACACATAAATACATACATACATTAATAGAATTGACCTACTTTTTAATACAATAAATATACTAATTACATACACGTACATATTATATATAAATATACACATTTATTGAAAGCGGAGCAACATAACCTACGACATTTGTGAATCACTTATAGAAGTATATATATATTTCAACCGCGACCATCGGAAATAAGGCGATATACTAAACCACTAGACTATATTATCATGAACTTTAGACATCTTTTAAATGAAACAAAGAAACTTTCATACCACCACACTATAATGACTAACAACTCATAATTTCTAAAAAGCAACGTTTATTACCGATACATATAAATAATCTTAATCAAATGCCCCAATCAAGACTTGATCATCTCATCAAAGATCTTCATTTACGAATGTAGTATCGCTTCGCTTACAAACTATAAAACAAGCAATAAATTTGTCTACAGTTATTGCTTCTACTTATTATGACGCTCATTATATTTTAGGCTCAGATTAAATTTATTTCTCTATTGTGTACTAGCTGAGCCGCGCAACTTCGTCTGCTTCACACTTACTTGACATTTATAATTATATATCGCCCAATTCAAATATTATCTTTTTTAAATTATAGCCTGTGTTATTGTAATGTATAAGCTATATTACTGTAAAGTTTTATAAAAAATAGTTTAGTAATTTTTGCGTAAACGAGTAACAAATATCCATCCATACTTACAAACTTTCGCGTTTATAATATTAGTAAGATTTTAACTCAGCGAAACTATTCTG